CATTGCAAAAATGTCTCTAAAGTGCCATTCATCACTGCGCTATGTTGTTTAATCTCAAACTGGGGCACATTATTGAAACACATGAACGTGCTGAAAACCCTTTGTGCAAATGCAACTTGTTGTTTTCAAGTTCTAAAAATGTTGTAAGTTATTTTGGTGTAATTGTTATTTTAATAATGCTGTATTTCCAATGAAAACACGTCACTTGGTCCAGGTCACGTGTATGCCCGGTCAATCAAAACACAGGATGCTTTAGTAAGTAAATAAGTAAGTCTAAACATGAGTTGTCGCACACTCTTATGAGTCCAGTCCATCACTTTAGCTCGGCTTTTAACACCATCATTCCTAGCCTGCTTCAGGACAAGCTCTCCCTGCTGAACGTGCCAGACTCCACCTGCAGATGGATCACAGACTTCCTGTCTGACAGGAAGCAGTGTGTCAAACTGGGATCACAAGTTTCTGCCACCAGGTCAATCAGCACCGGATCTCCTCAGGGCTGCGTCCTTTCCCCTCTGCTATTCACCCTGTACACCAACAGCTGCACCTCCAGTCACCAGTCTGTCAAACTCTTGAAGTTTGCGGACGACACCACCCTCATTGGGCTAATCTCTGATGGGGATGCGTCTGACTATAGGAGGGAAGCTGACAACCTGGTGACCTGGTGTAGCCAGAACAACCTGGAGCTTAATACTCTTAAGACCGTGGAGATGGTTGTGGACTTCAGGAAGAATACAGCCCCACTCACCCCCATCATCCTGTGCGACTCCCCAGTCACCAATGTTGAGTCCTTCCGTTTCCTGGGCACTATTCTTTCCCAGGACCTCAAGTGGGAACTGAACATCAGCTCCCTTATCAAGATAGCTCAACAGAGAATGTACTTCCTACGGCAGCTGAAGAAATTTAATCTGCCAAAGACAATGATAGTGTGCTTCTATACAGCTATCATTCAGTCCATCCTCACCTCCTCCATCACCGTCTGGTACGCTGCTGCAACTGCCAAGGACAAGAGCAGACTGCAGCGTATCATCCGCACTGCTGAGAAGGTGATTGGCTGTAATCTACCAACCCTTGAGGACCTGCACACTTTGAGGACCCTGAAGTGAGCGAGGAAGATTGCGGACGATTCCTCGCACCCTGGATACTCTCTGTTCCAGCTACTCCCCTCCGGCAGAAGGCTGCGGTCCATCAAGGCCAAAACCTCACGTCATAAAAACAGTTTTTTCCCATCTGCTGTTGGCCTCCTTAACAAGGCCAAGGGCTTAAAATGACTTTTACACTTAAAATGACTGTTACACTTACTATAACATTGTATCTACATAATTACACCTTTCCATACTTACAACGTGTAATCTTATTTGTATTTTTGTATTTTAAGATTGTTTAATACGGCTAATTAACATTTTACATTCGCATTTTATAAGGTCTACTTATTCATAATTTTAAAGATTTTAGCCTTTTGGTATTACTTATACTTTGTAACGTTAGTATAGTTAGAGTGCATACCTTTTATATAAGTTAAGATTCCTACTTGTTCAATGTATGCACCGTCCCGCCATAGTGAATTCCTTGTTTGTGCAAACTTACATGGCGATATAAACCGTTTCTGATTCTGATTCTGAAAGCTGATCGCACACAACAGAGGAAGCTCTTCGGGAATAACAACGCCGTTTTAAGCCGATCGCAAAACTGGCTCAGACTCGAGGATGAATCCCGAACATCTGCTGCCGGTGACTGGGTCCCGGTCTTGGGGCCGGAGGCCACTGTGGAATGGCGCTGGCCGCATCGCTGGCCAAGGTTTGCGCTGTGCGGCTAACAGCAAGAGGATCACCATGGGCTGTGCATCGTAGATGGCCTTGATTGGGGACCGTTGAGGCTGATACACACTTTAACTTTCGTTTCCTACATTTAAGTTGCAAAATAATAAATTGCAGAAATAATTTCCCATATGTCACGTTGGTAAACCAAGTTTCCCCTCTGGAGAGATTATGAATCTCAATTGGGCCATTATTGCTTGGTTATATAAAGGAAATTGGATTTCATTGGCATTGTGAAGTTAAATAACACTGTAACTAAAAAATGTTGTTCCTGGGTAGTAAGTTTTATTTCCTAATTGCCAAATGCCTCAAAAGTACAGAAAATGGCTATATTCCTCACAAACTTTGTTTTGTGGCCAGAACAGTGATATTTTGAAAACTACCTATTTTCAATGAGATAACTTGTGCATTTGCGTCTTTCATTCACATAAAGTCCTGGTCACAAAAGCAACGTTTGTGGGGAATAATAGCCATTTTTTTAAATACTTTTTAGGCATAAACATTAAAAAAATAACACTTAGTACCCAGGAACAAATATTGTGTTACATAGTGTAATCCACATTGTATTTCAGATACGAATATTTTAAAAGCTCGGCAAACACATCCTGAAATAACATCCACGCGTTTATAAAAATGCTAAACAAATATCCCAAAAGGTCTGAACGTTGCACAAGTCTCCCGTTGACACCATCAATAATAATAATAAGTGGCAGTTAATCTGGAGAAGAAGAAAAAAAATTAACCCGTAAAAACAAAGTTTTTCACTATAAATCCTTTATATGCGTGGCGGCTAGAGTCATCTCGTCCTCTGGCTTGAGATGACTGCCACCTATGGGTCAGATGATTGCCTGCCACCATTAAGCAATTGGTAGTTAAATATAATTTTTTTTTCCTAAAAAGTGTAACATTTTGGAAAGTTTTTTCACGAAAATGAATTGTCACGCACAACGAGTCTGTGTGCAAAATGGATCACGGGAAGTGGGTTAAAAAACGACCGAAAGATTTGCACGGTCGTAAGCGCGCAAGCAAGTGTCTTGGGCCACTGATTCTGGAAAAGTGATCGCGTGATCCCATGGAGCAAAATGTCATCATCTTTCTCGGGGTGAGTGGCAGCTGCGGTTCACGGACATTTCCTACTCACGTTGAGCCCCCCCCCCCCCCGTTTATGGCAAGACCGTGCAGCGTTCTTTTGTTTGGCTGAGCGCAGCTGTGATCGACGCATGTGCCCGCAAAATAATTATTGTTTTCTAGCCGTTATCTTAATGTTGTTCATTATCGCTGACTGATGGCACGCCTTACTTGCTGTTAAAATATTCTCATTTAGGGCTGTGAGAATGACAGAATTTTCATCGAGTTTATTTTGTTTAACCAGGTGAGAACTCTTGACACCAATGATAGAGTCCCATTTTGCAAGATTGAGCTGGGACACCGAACTGAAAACAATCAAAACAGGCAAGTAGAGCAATGAAGTAAAGCAATCGGAACAAAAATCGAAAAAATATTGCAAACATGAATTAATGTTTAATCAAAGCCAAATGTTAAATTATGTGCAGTGCGCTGTGGTTAGAACACTCGGAGGAGAGTTTAAATCCTGGTCTGGTGGATAGATCCCCTCCCCCCGTCATAGGAATGTGGAATTTCCACCACTTGCTCAGGGCCACCAATAGAAATGAGCCACTTAAACTTGACATTAACAAGTTCCTTACACACCATTCCACATGCAAAATGTTATACTCTCAGTCCAAACTGTAATGTCCTAGCAGAAGGCTAGTTGGTCTCAACATCAAAATGCCTCCTCTTGAATTCTAAATTGAAGCAATTAGTAAATGTATTTATTTAATTTATTTCGATTTAAAGCTTTCGTGATTGCAGGGATTCATGTTCTTGTTTCTTTCGGTAAAGTCACGTAGAAGGGAAATAATAAAATTAAAACATAACAACATACATTTTAAAATGATGTTTTATTTTTATTATTTCCCTTCTACGTTATTTAATTTAGTTACTATAATGTACACTATACAATCATGAATGGTGTCTTCAACCTCGGTACTTCATCACGTTAAGCGATGATGGCCAAACGATCAAAAATAATCACGCAACGGCAGCAAAGGCACATGGAACACATCCACGAGGACGTTCGCGGAGGAGATGGAGCGACGAGATCGGCTCGCGTGGTGGTCCTGGATGGATCGTTGCATCGCAGGAACGTGCAAGGTGGCGGCTTCATCCAACAGTGGATTGATAATTGCAGATGATGATTATTTCACCGATGAGCGCAGGGCTGTATACATTATATATTCTGGTCTATTAAGCTCTGCATAGTCTTGGACCGATGTACCTGCGGCGGGCCCGACTGATCTCTCACACGACTGGGGTTTACACGCCACGCTCTTCATGGCAGGTCCTACCACTCTCCCAGCCTCGGCTCTTGCGCTCGACGCTGGGGGGGGGGGGGGAGGGGGGGGTCTGACCTTCTCGAGTGTTGCCCCAAAGATCTGAAATGCCTGGCCGGCAGTGATCCGGCACCCTGCGAGCCTCAGTGTGTTTAGGAGAGTGGAAGACTCACGATTTTCTCATGGCTTTTACTTAAACATTATTTCTCATGGCTCTTACTTCAACATAATTGTATTGTTTTTGCATTTTATTTTAGTGTACAATGTTTTGATACCCCCTGGAGTGAAGGTGATATTGCATTTTAAATAAATACGGTTTACATAGCCAGAAGCAATCATCACTTAAAAATAAACTACAGCATATCAAGATGAAATAAGCTGTGAAGACACACAGCAATTTCAATCTGAATGCATTTATCACGAGGGTGATTGGTGGTCTCCTAGAATGCGAATTGGCCAATGTTTTACAGACTTGCTTATTAATGTTGAACACATAGTAGGCTTTCACGACCAATATCTAAAATAGAGGTTTTTGGGTGAGATCACGTAAACATGAATGTGTCATTAAACCCGCCACCACCTGACACAACTTATTAGTGAGGTTTGTCACTTAAACAAAACATGCCAATTCGAGTTCCGTGACGTTTCGCCAGTAAATACAATCAGCATCATCAGGCGACAGCCAGAGTTGTTATAAGAGTTGCTTATTGCTTATTAATAATCCCAACACTGACGTGATCTTTGCACCCTAAAGTTGCCATTGATGGGATCAGTGATACAACAACAAAAACACTTTCCATTTCTTTTTCAATTCTAAAATTTGTATTCCTTTATTTTTCAAAAATATCATTAATATATATGCACGGTTTGTTAATTCCAATGGTTTACTTGAGACAGATGCTTACCAGTAAATCAAATGTCGTGGCGGTCCACGGTTTATATATTACAAACTTACAACAGAAACAAACAAAAAACATTCGGGTGGAGAAATGTGGTCAGACGATGTAACTGTACACTCGACAAAAGTTCTACGCTAAAAAACGAAGCGAAAGCCAAGTCAAATACGTCTTGAGAATTCATCACAATAGCAGAAATATTGCATTAAAGAGCTTAACCCAGCACAGCTGTAAGTGATATAGTCATGTACATTCTGTTTCAGCATAAATATGATTCACACGCGCGAGCATAAAGTATAAAATACAAAGTATAAAACACGTCACTTGTTAAGCTCATGCTACCAACATCGGCATTTAAAACACAACCACTGTACAGTCATCCAACGTGGGCACTTTACATATAATTTTACAAAATGTTTCTAAAAGGTACTCGGACCATGATAATGTATTATCATTTTACAGGGTGTCTTTATAAAAATACCTTTGAACAAGGCAAAGCAAGCCATGGTATCAACAAAAAAGAGGACTACACGTGTGGACTCTGCAGGCTGTTTTACAAGCAGATGCTGCTTCGGGAACATTTAAACCTAATGTTTACATTAAACAAAAAACTGCTTGAGAATGCTGCACGCACAGGCTCGCTCCGATCCAGGCTCTTCCAACTCTGTCCATCCCTAACATTTGGACTCAGTCCATGGCGCGCCGAAGTGCGGAGTCGTGGTGGGGGGGGGGGTCACACCAGAGCCTCGTGTAGCAGCGCAAAGCGGCACAGGCGGCACACGCGCTGCGGCTATCGTGGTTTAATCCGAACACCGACGGTGGGCCTCGGACAATAGACGGGAAGTGTCGGGCACGGGGTGTGCCACACAGCGATTACCGTGCACATAAAGGAACTGCGCTTGCCACCGCAGTGCAACCAACCACGAGCATCAGTACACAACTCGGCTGTCGACGTGGGGTTCATACGGGAGCGGTCAACACAAACCTTGCATGAGAATCAACACGCAGGGCTTCAAAAATACGCGGCAGCTAGACGTCACCACCAGGGCTATTCGGCCATGGAATTTAATAGCATGATTAAATGTTATGGCCGGATAGCCCGGTGGCAAAATTAAAAGCGTTTAAATACAAACAAATGATGTTGGACACTCAGATGTCCCTGTGTAGCTTGAAGGTAAACCATATTGCAGCAAGACCACAGGGTTCGTGGTGGGAAGAGAAGAGCATTCTATTAAACGAGTTCATGAATGTTAAGGGTATTTTGTCAACAACGCTGTTCATGTGCTGGACCACAGATGAATGAGTGCTTGACTGTGTGACTGTAGAGCCATGTGGCTTGGTAGCCATGTGGCTGAGTGGTTGTGCGTGTGGCTGTACGACTGGGTGTTTGTGTAGCTATGTGATTCGGTAACTGTATGGCTGTGTCTGTTTGGTTAAATGAGTCGGTATGTGGTTGTATAGCTATGCAGTTTAATATAGCTATGGCTAAGTTGCTGTGTGTGTGACGACGTGGTTGTGTATCTACACGGTTTGTTATCTGTGTGGCTATGTGTCCGTGTGGCTGAATGATTGCTGTTGTGCAGATAGGTAGTTTGGCAGCTGTATGGCTGGGTAGCTATATTGTTGCGTGGGTGGGTAAATGTGTGGCAGGAGGCTGGATGTCTGTGCAGGTGTGTGACAGCGGCACGCTGTTGTCTGGCTTGACGTCGAGGCCCCGGGTCACAGGAAACTTTAGGCGCTCTCTTCGTCGTACCCTCAGCGGTTTGGAGGCAGCCGATGATTTGGAATTGCACCTCCCCCTGAGCTCTCATCCGACCACAAATACACGGAATGCCTTGCCTCCCGCAGGGTTCCGTGTCCTGGAATGGAAGGACACGTGGAAATGAGTCGATTTCATGTACAGAATGTATTTCCCTTCCCCACGGAATGATCGCTCTTTAGGTCAGCAATGAGTTATGGTTGTGTGGCCTGGTAGTACAACATCTTAATAATAATAATCCCTCAAACCCAAAACATTATAAAGTGCAAACAATTTGACACTTATTTTCGAGACAATTTCAGGCTATGCAGGAAAATGGATTTATGGTGTTTAATAAACATGCGTCCACGTTGCAATCGTAAACTATTGTCATAAACTTGTTGTAGATTCACTTTCTGGGTTAGTTATTCACTTGCTAATGTACTTAATGATCAATCTGCATACTCTTTCATTGTTTGCAAACTTATTGATGAATTTATTGAATTTGATTTTAGATGTTTTTTGGCAAAACTACTTATTTTATGCTTGTCTATTCATGTTCATATCCAACTAATTGGTGCAGTGGTTAGAGTGTCTGACTTGCAATCTTAAGATTGCAAGTTCAATTCCAGAAGGTGGCCAACTCAGCCTATCATTGCTCGCCCTCCCATGTCGACCATGGGGGTTGTTTGACCATACTTCACCACTCTGGTCAGTGCAGGTTGGTGAAGGAGGGGCTGAGAGGGAACAAGACCGGTTCGGATACCACTCGCCACTGATGCTAGCCCATGCCCGGGAATCAAACTCCGGTTGCTGGGCTCATCGTACAAAGGGCTACCCACTGCGCCACAGCTCCAGCCATCATCACTCCTGGTGAGTATCACATTGTGGAAAGTCCACAGAAATCGTCCTGTGTGGAGAACAGCCTTTGCCATTGAAATGTGGAGTTTCCACCACTGGCTGAGGGCCATGAGTAGAGATGAGTGCCACCCTATGGTCATTAAAATAATAAATATGGCGCTGTCTTCGTTTGGCATCACACACGCATTAGAGCTCTCATGATGGCTAACCACGATTTCTGAACGCAACATTTCCGCACAGATTTTGCATTGCAAGAGAGTCACGCCCCGCCCAGCATAGGCCCCTAGACCAGGGGCTTTCCTTCATCAACCTCTCCTGCTGTGAAAGAGTAAACACATTTCTGGTGTTTGGGCCACGTTTAAGAGCTTTTGGTTAGGAATATTGATCTTGCTGTGCTCTTCAGAGGATGTTGTAGATAAACTTTGTGGGCTGCATACGTCACAGTTTACCGCACAGAGGGACGCGTGCTTTACTTAGCGTCCCGTTGCAGGACTCCAGCACGACAATCGAGGACATATGCAGCACAGGGCAACTTGGTGTAAACACTGCGCGTGCGGTGGGGGAGGCTGGGTGGTGTCTGCACAGCCGAATGTGCCCAATCAAGGCATTGCTTGGCTGAGACTGCAAGTCACTGTCTGTGATTATTGACCATTCTTTGTGCATTGGGAATGCTGCCATGGTGCACTGGTCACCGTGCTGCACTTCCAAGACAGAGGTCGCCAGCTCCGCTAGAATTGCATTTGAAAGGATGGTGCAAGAGAATGTTACCGTCCAACTCAGTGGTACACATGTGGTGGGGTCAAGTGTGGGATACTCCCACCTATTTGAAGGTGTTGGGCTAGCGTGGCGGAGTAGGCCTCGAGCAGCCTCTAGTCGAGCCTCGTCTGCCTGCAGTGCCGTGGCAACTCGAGGGCTGCCCCGTTCACACTGCCACCGTTCGTGCATCGAGGAGTGGCAGGCAGTCAGATTCATTTCCCTTTTCAAAAACGACCTCGGAGGAGCGCAGTGATGTAGCCAAAGAGCCAAAAATTGTTTCCCACGCAAACAGGTGTAGAGTGGTGAGCCCGTCTCGATTTACAGTCCGAAACCAATAGTGTAAATTCCATGTCCCCATGGCGGGGATGAGTGCCTTCATAGGAAAACCACTGCTGCCTTCCCATATAGTGACGTTTACACTGCCATGAAGTGACATTTATAACGTGAAACTAATTTTTGTTCGATTTGAAGTGCTGCACTGATCCGGGACCAGGAGATAAACTTGGTACGTTCCGACTGGCTGTGTGGGCAAGTGTCTTACTTTCCTGAGCATCTGCTTTAGAGCAAATGAAACGACATGGTACGTTAATTCCGAATTGAAAATAAAAACCGGCTGTGGGAATAAAGCCTTAGTAGACTTCATTCAAACTGGCTTGGTTGTAAGCAGAGCATGCTAGCCACTGGGCTATGCTAGCCACTGTATAATATTCACACTCTTCTGTGTGATGTTAGACTCTAGTTTGCAATGTCACTGCCGCATTTGCCACTCCCAAAGGATGGGTCATATTCCCTGAAACAAAACTGCTCTTTAATACAAACGAGTTTCAAGTTAAGCTACTTTTTAAATGGTCAAATGAATGGATTACTGTAATGCCTGTAAAGCATGGTAGGTCTTCTGTTTAACTTTACGAATAAAGTGCATTCATCAACTTTTCCTTGAACGTTGCACACAATTGCCACATTTCACATGAAAAAGCTAACAAGGCTTTCCTGCAATTGAGCCGTATGCAGCGCTGAGGAACTCTACTCTTAAATTTTTTTTAAATGTAGCGCCGTTTTGGATTTCATATTCATAAACAAAGTCAAAAGTCAAAAAGTCAACGTGCATTCCTGCTCCAATGAGGTTTGGGCACTGCTCAACGCCCTCGGCTTTGCTGAACCAGTGGTGGAAATTCCACATTCCTTTCGCAGAGAGGTGTCTCAGCCACTGCTGAATTTTCAAAAAGTGGTAATCATTTTATTGACCCCCAGGGGTACGCTGAACAGTCGAATGCCAACTTGAATTAGATTTTCTGCTTGTGAGTCAGGCGATCTAAGCATAGCATCACTTTACCATATTCATGTTAGTAAGAATACAATAGTGCCCTTATTTACCCAGGAAAGCCTCACCGAGTCTCGAGTATTTTTCCCAATGGTCATACGAGTGGAAAACCTCCACACTGCCATCTCCTGGCCACCTTGCAGCCCCTTGCTTTACAACACTTGGCAAGCCTAGGCTGTCACCCATCCAAGCTGCACCAAAATTTTAATTTAATTTCATTATAACTGCTTTTTGTGTTTGGTTGACCTTTCCCCGGAACCTCTGATTAGCACGGTTAGCTATGTACGGGTGCCAATGAAGTTCAACGTATGTACATACCACCACGTGTAACTTCTGAGATCCCACGAAATCGAGCAAATTGGGGTGGTTTGACCAAGGCTTAATTTCACCTGGGGTCTGTCCTGGTTGGTGACATTGGAAAATATTTTGCACCCAGTCTACCACATCCAGAACATCTCTTCGTTACGGCTGCGGCTACCAGTTACTTGCCTGCTCCAGTCCATCAGTGATCCGACAAAACACATTCGATGAGAAATTGCTTCCTGGATTTTATCGTGGTCTGAACTAAAATGTCCACACCACTGGTGTCACCCGCCCACGTGCCCACCCACCTCTTGGAGAGGATGCCGTTCTGGTGGGTGCTGCCGTAGTGATTCTTCTTATCGACGGGCATCACGTCCACATAGCCGCCCTGCGAGTTGGTGATGACCCCGGCGTGGATGGCCGCTCGGCAAATGCTTGAATTCTGTGAAGATGCATATATATTTTATTCGTGTTGCAACACTCACTCAAGAGCTCGGCTTAATCATGGATTCTTCAAACCAGAAATTGAGCACAACATCGCAGCTGTGCCAGCTCGTTACTCTGATATGGTTCGTAGCTGGGTCTAAAAAAAAATCGCCTTCATGATTCTAGGAATTGTGACAATTTGGGTTTTGTGTAAGTTGAACTTCTTTCGCACAGTACATAGCCAACCGTGCTAATCGGAGGTGCGGGGAAAGGAGATGAAATTAAAACAATATTTGTAGTGGCTGCAGTGGTACTGTGACCGATATTACGTTACATGCAATATATTTAACAGCATGCATCAAATCCCACGCTGTGGCAACCAATGGGGTTATTTGACCATATTTCACTCCGTTGGTAACTGGATTGGTATAGGCAAGCGGCTGGGGCAAGAACTGGTTCTAATAACCACTCGTTGAATCAGCTGTGCCTGGGAATCCAAATCCAGCCATGAAGTTCGTACGCACGATTCGATATATATGTGTCATAAGTGTTATACTCGGTTTTAATCGATTAGTTTTAGGCATCGTTATAACCCCTATTCTTATGCCGCTGAGCCACCAGATCACCTAATTGTTCCTCCCAGGTTAAAGCCATACCTGGCCTAGATTTGAAGCTTTCGTGACTGCAAGGATTCATATTCTTAGGTTTTTTCGGTAAAGTCACGTAGGTAAAAAATTTAAATTAATAAAAGTAAAATAAAATAAAAATCACGACGTTTCGGAGGCAACACAAACTTCCGTCTTCAGGTGGAACCGTCACAGCACGCTTGCTGTATCAAGTAAATGAGAGATTCCAAGAGATACTACCCCGTATATATATTGGTTGAGAGGGGGAGATGGGCCAGGACAGGCCCCCTTTTTATTATTATGCTAAGGTGCGGCTTGAGACTACGGCTAGTCTACATAACATACTTTTATTAATTTTATTTTTTTATTTTTTACCTACGTGACTTTAACGAAAAAACCTAAGAATACCATACCTGGCCACAACAAGGCAAACCGAGCAATCACATGGCCTTCATGCAGTGGTGAAAGTGACACAACAGAAAGCTGAGGCTTGTTCCAAAAGGCTTGCTGCTGCTGCACAGTCATGAAAGGCTCTTGCCCTCGCCCGGCCTTCAGCATTACGCGTAACTCTACCCCGGGCAGACTCTAACTCTACCCGGGGCAAACTCGCGGAGAGATGTTTCCCAACAAAGGTAGCGGTGTATTAAAAACTCACCCCATTTTAACAATCCCTTAATTGAACGTAAACAAATACTCGCGCGATAAGGCTCTTGGACTCGGAAAATAAGGGCTCAGACCCCCACACGCACAAAACAGGCTCCTCATTCCAGCTGAGAAACAGGACCGTCCGTGCCGATAGCCCTCAGAATCACTTCCGTGCGTTTGTACTTTCATCCGAGCTGCATGACCCACAGGCCTTCTTCTCAGTATCGCCGCAGCCTCCCTTGGTGCTCGAGTTACGCTAATTACTGTAACGAGGGGGCAGCCTTGCGATGGCGGTACGTCGCAGAAGCGTGCTTTCTTTCGGCGAGCCACGGAAAAGTGGAGAAATCGCAAGGGGCCTCATTAAGCCAGGCTGCACGGGGCACACAACGCTCCGCCAGCGGCCACATTTCGCCGAGTGAGAGAGTCCTCCCGTAAACGTGTTTTGTTGAGTTAAGTCAACGGTCGGTCGAGTCAACGTTTTCCTCTTTGCTCAAATAAGTGCCGGGCCGGTGCTCGTCTTCATTCGCGGCCCGTAGCCAGTGGTGGAAATCCATTATTGCTTCTGCCTCAAAACTTCAGAAAACGGCTATTATTCACCACAAACTTTGCTTTGTGACCAGGACAGTGATATTTTGAAATGTATCTATTTTCATTGAGAAAACGTGTGCATTTCTGTCATTCCTTCACATAAAGTCCTGGTCACAAAAGCAAAGTTTATGGGGAATAATAGCCATTTTCTATACTTTTGAGGCATACGCAATTAGAAAATAACAACTTACTACCCAGGAACAAAAATCGTGTTACACAGTGTTATTATCACCCTCGAGGCACGTGTGCCCCTGAGTGCACAGTGGTACTCGTTTGATCTAACTGGGAGGGGTTATTGGTTTGACTGCTCACCAGGAGCTGAACTCACAAACCTCCCACTGTGAGCTGAGCACTCGAACCACACCACAACTCCGGCGGCTGATTAAATGAATGGAGAAATAAAACATTTGACTTTTCATGGAGCGTGGACAACTGAGCTAAATGGTTGAGACCAAACACAGCAACTCAAGAATTCAGTTAAATCACAGGTGGCTGAAACCCATATTAAAATCCATATTCACAGTCCACGGAACCCCGTCCATACGAACTTCCCGCAGAATGGGAACTCCGGAGTTTTTATTCGTTGGCCCACAGCAGTTGAAACCCCCCAGGCCGGCGTCGCGTGCCCCGGGTGTCCGCGCGCGACTCACGTCAGCGTAGACCTTGGAGCCGTAGACATCGCTCTCCGCGTTCACGCAGCCGGGCCGGCAGTACATCCTGCCAGGCAGAGGGGTTGCACGCAACGGTCACCCTCTCGCGTGCCGTGCCAGCCTTCATCATAGGCGCCCGCTAACAGCACTTGCCCCAACAGTCTGTTAAGGCTATAGATCAGGGGTGGGGAAACTTTTTTCTGCAAAGGGCCATTTGGATATTTATAACATCATTCGCGGGCCATACATAATTAGTAACTTAAAAATTTGCCTGTTATATTTGGTCAAACATTTTATCAACTCACCCCTAATTTGATGGCTGGAACTGCTTCTCTTTGGTGAGGCGTGTGATGATGTTAGCTGGTATTGATGATGTTGCTGCTACTCGCAACTGCTTTTCCAGGTTTGCTCCTAGATGTATTGAATTTCGAGTCCCGCCTGCGGTTGCCTTGGCAGGGCCACACCAAATGATTTCGCGGGCCTCATACGGCCCACAGGCTGGACGTTCCCCACCCCAGCTATAGATGGAGATTTTTGTCTTTGTATCAGGCTGCCCCATGAATGTGGTGATTGTTTTTCTGAACCACAATCATTAACTTAACTGCACAGCATGTGAGACCTGAGGGCTAAATGGATTTGGTCCTCCAGCACCCAGCCTCTTCCTACATTGGGCAAAATACAGCCCAATGTAGGAAGTGGCATTGTTAAAACATGTCTGTGGTTTTCTTGACCTAGGTCAAAGGTTATAAAGGTCCTACATAGTTCACCATGAATACCATACGTTCGTGGTCCCTGTCCAAATGAGCTCTCTTGATGGCACAACGAAAAATTACTCAGGTATGTGATGTCACTGACAATCGAAGTGTTTTTTTTACATGCAACGATGGGCATAGTGAATTAAAGAGGCGAGCGAGAGAATTGGAAGAATCAGAAACAGAAGTGTGTGTTCCCGAGTGAGGCTCGATGAGCCCCACAGCTCTTTGCCCAGAGTGACCCGGCCAGCAGACACGAGCAGCAGCCATTAGTGTCGTTTCGTTATACATTGAGTTCGGAGTGTTTCGCAAAACTTTATTTCGATAACGAAAAGCAGCACCCTTAACATGCCTATAGAGGAAATCTTCCAATCTGTGCACATTACTTGAAAACCAGAATTAGAATATGGATTTATACTGGAGGAATCCAATGAGCTAAAAAAATATTTTTCTCAGATGTCAGATTGAGACCATGGATTTGATACATTTGAAGTGACATGGAATGTGCCACTGTGGCGTGTAGCACTGGTTGCTGGCAGAGAAGGTGATCGACAGTTGTAGCAGCCCTGTCTGCCAGCAGGATGTGATGAGCCAGAGAGAAGGACGTGAGGCAAGGGGGACAGGGGGGGGGGGGTACGTGTGGTAAAGCCCGGGAACCTTCTAGTGGCTTCTAGAAGGGGGGCGGGGCCGAAGGCGGAGCTAAGCCACGCTGGATGAATAAAAGGGGAACCCCGAGCGAGGGATCGGGGCTGTTGTTGGAGTGGAACCGTCGTGCTGCTGGAGTCTTCGTCACCGTCTTCACCTCCTCGGCGTTGTTGGTCAGGCAGCCTGTTAGCTGTCCTGACCATAGTGTAGATTAAAACTTCTAATCTAGATTCATAGTACCTGTGAAGGCTATAATAAATATAGTGCCTCCTACGATGAGTGTCTCTGAGTGACTCACTACACATTAACACTGACAAAAACACAATAGAAGCTGCAAAGAACAGAATAAAGCATGATGGGATTTACAATGAGAGATAGGAAGAAGAAGAACAATTGTAACAGAGGGGAAACACATCAGAAAGATGGTGGCGACCATCTTCTTGGTTCTTTCGGTAAAGTCACGTAGAAGGGAAATAATAAAATAATAAAATAATAAAAATAAAACATAATAAAATAATTCTCACGACGTTTCGGCCACAACGCAAGCAGCCGTCCTCAGGTGAAGACAGCGTCTGAATTCAGACTCTGTCTTCCCGACAGACCTGTTCTTCACCTGAGGACGGCTGCTTGCGTTGTGGCCGAAACGTCGTGAGAATTATTTTATTATGTTTTATTTTTATTATTTTATTATTTCCCTTCTACGTGACTTTACCGAAAGAACCAAGAAGATGAATCCCTGCAGTCACGAAACGCCGGTTTGGGCAGAGCACGTTGCTGGGATCGTTGGTGACTGATGGACGGGACTGGTGACAGAATGAGAAGCAGCCAAAGGAGGGACTTGAGTCAGAGAGGACAACCACTGCAGAGACGCAGCCCTGAGACCACCTCATGTGCAGGAGGTGTCATCAAGGGCTCATGAGGGATGGCAACAGTGTGGGGAGGCCTTCATCATGCAGTGGATAGAACATGGCTGTCGATGTGGTGATGGGAATAGGCTTACCGTGGGCAGTGTGGGGAGGATTTCTTGTAAGGGCAGAGTTGAGCCACGGTGGTCGAACAATCTACGGATTTTACTGCACGCAACACGAGAGTGATGAGAACAACCACGCAACAGCTGTGAATTGCTGACCTATCCCCTCTGTAAAACATCACGGTATATAAAATGAATGACAACCAATAAAATACAATGCACAGTATGATGGTTGCTATATTGTCCTGGAAGTCATGCGATTGGCAAATATAATATAATACAAAGGGCGATGGAAAAGTCCGTGGCTTCAGATAGATGGAGTGGTGCTACGATAATGGGTGAACGTTCAGCTGGAATTCATCTTCTTGGTCCTTTCGGTAAAGTCACGTAGAAGGGAAGTAATAAAATAATAAAAATAAAACATAATAAAATAATTCTCACGACGTTTCGGCCACAACATGGTGGCGACCATCTGTGAGAATTATTTTATTATGTTTTATTTTTATTATTTTATTACTTCCCTTCTACGTGACTTTACCGAAAGAACCAAGAAGATGAATCCCTGCAGTCACGAAAGCTTTAAATCGAAAAAGTTCAGCTGGAAGTTCATTAATTTTAAAGATTAACAACCATAGTCGCAGTTGATTAACTCTGTCATTTTTTTACAATTTTTTTGAAATCTTCTTGTTGCTGTACCGACTGATAACTGTAGACTCATTAAATATGCAAAAGGATATGGAGAAAACCAGAAAATTATGAGAAAACCAGAGTAATCTGGAGATAAACCCGTATTCCCCCAGAGCTGGCTCCTACAGACTGTGGCAATGCCTCCACAGTTAGAGAATCACGTGCAGGGAAAGATGTATCCCATTGACAGCGACGCAATGTGTGTTTTGAAAGAGTGGTATGAAGGTCAAGACAAATAGTTCTTCTGGACGGGGATTAAATCCTTGGAACAGCTGTGAACCAAGTGCATTGTGCTTGGGCACAGCAAAAATAACAGGGCCAGCCTTTGCTTTCTTTGTCAGGCCACACATCTTTCCATCACCCTTCATATGAAACATGCACATATGTCGACCTATTTGACCTTGTTAGGGGTCACTTTGCTACCACGTCACATCCGCTCACATTGGATTGATGTACGATCAGCCGAGCTACGGTCTTACCAGAGACTGCTGAATAGGAGAATGCGTTGGAAGCCTTGTGTTTGCTGAAAAGAGAAAAAAAACGCATTTTAAAGTCACGTTTTGCTTTTGCAAGACCCACTTTGTGAATCCGGTCTCAGGTCCCTTTGCTAAAATAAACTAAGCTGTCACTAATACAAAAATACAAGTTAGCAACATTGTAATGTACCATGCGGTTGCATTTACACGTAAAATAGGAGTCCAGATTGTATTATACTTATTATTTGTTCATGATATGCATTGAATATTTAGCAAGAATAACAGCATTCTTGACATTGAAGCAGGGGGGTAAAGAAATGCTGCTTCCAGAATGACCCACCAACAATAGGGGCCTGGGGGAAATTCCTGGCAGATGACGCCATGGAACCACTTCTGAAGCCTCTTCAGCTAGGCCTCTCCCACAAGACAGCGCTCCTTCACGATTGCAATGAGTGCGCCCCACGTGTCAGCCTTCTGGTACATCGGTAGACTTTAGCTTAAAGAGATGGGCCATGCCGAATTAAGTCAACAGTCAAATGAATGAGTGACCGTGATGTTTTTTGCAATGCAGTCGTTGATCATCCGGCTGAGACAAACTCTGTACGTAGGAATCTCGCATCGCCGCGACTTGTGAGATCAGTCTAACAGTCGAAGAGTCAGTCAGCGGTCAGTACATAAATGGAAGAATAGTCCAATCCTGGATGTGCAAGTATCTGTGCAGATAATATATATTACGCCGATTTAAACTCACGTGGCTGCAACGTGGATTCGAGCCCAAGTTCTCAGAGGTTGTTAACGTGATGTATTTTTGTTGAACTTCTTTTCCACCATACGTAGCCAACCATGCTAATCGATGCTATGACACTGCCAACATGAGTTCCTTTTGAGACATCTGGCCACATACCCTCCGCAGGCCCAACACTCAAACTCACCCTCATGCTCACCCTCATGCTCACCCTCAAGCTCACGCTCACTCCCACCCCCACCTGAGTGCCTGCACGCCGTTATGCTGGGACTTGATGAAGAAGGGCTTGCGGCCCTGGCGTGTGATGTCCACCCAGCCGCCCTCATCGTCCAGGATGCCATAGTGCAGCGCCGCTCGACAGATGCTTGAGCTCTACGAGGGCCATTTCAAGCACAAAGCAAATCGCTCACTGAGGTGTCGGCATCGCACACAGAACCAGCATCAGAATCTTTGTTTATTCTGGAGGAATTCAATGAGCTATGAAACTCTTTTTCACAGATGTCCAGTAGGGGCGGGTCACAAAGTTGCAACAACAACACTACCAAAAAAACTATAGGAGTGCAAAGTATAGGAAAGGTAAGAAAATCACTCAAGTAAATAAACAAGCTGCCACTTCAGCTATTTTTATTTTACCAGGTAGAGCCCACTGAGCTATATAGTTATTTTTCAGAAGCGACCTGGCCACATGATAAGCTCAACAAAGTGGCTCATCACGTGGAAATTGATCACAGCAAAATACTCTAAACGCATGTTGATTCTAAATGTGGAGAGAGAGAAACCAGAGGACCCATAGAAAAATCCATGCGACCACGGGGAGAACATGCAAACTCCAAATAAACAGGTGTAAGAGTAAGGGATAGAATCTCACGACCTCTTGCATACCAGGCGAGGAAATTAACATCTCGCCACTGCCAGATGTCAAGTGGTACTCATTTAGTCGACCCTGGAGGGGGCATAATGGGCTGAGTCAACTTTCGACCGGGATTTGAATTACAACCCTCCGACTGTGAGACGAGGCCTCTAACCACAGCATCACCCAGCCAGATCGTCGAGTAAACAAGCGCGATGTTATCATAGTCCAGAATTTAATACTATCCCACTGTAAATGAAATCAATTGCTCAACAGTGCTTTCCTGGTCAGCCCGAGAGTCCATTTCTGCAGCGGACTTCTATTAATGCATTACGGAGGGCGGTGGCTGTAGCAATGAAAGGAAAACTGTGCCCGAGATATAAATAGTGAGATCGCGGTGCTGCCAAACACATGATTTCATCTCCAAACGTTATAGGAAAACTGTGTCGTCATCTCAGCCCGTCCAAATGCCATCGACAGCAGTCGACTCGCTTCCAACTTTGTGAACTTTCCATTGTGCTCGCCACGTGTTAAAGAGTCGGGGCCACGCAATAAATGGAGCAGCCTCCCCGCTAGGCTGGTGTTTGTGTTGGAGGATCGCCACCTCTCATCATTGCCTAAATAATGTATATATATATGGTATAGCCAAGGCATTAAGAGACATTTAATGATGAAAACGTAATGGATTGCAAAAGCCTGTCATTGTTTTGGAGGAAACTAATCCTAAACTAGACGCCACAGAATTTCTAAAAAGCGTCTCTTCAAGCGGCCTCTTTAAACTCCAATGACAAGACAGTTCTTCTTTGCCTCTGGAAATGGTGGTTTTCTGTGTCTATCCTATACATACTGTATAAGTACTGTACCGTACATGTCTGGCCGGGGGCCATCTTGTGGGGAAGTCAATGGTGGTTGTGCTTAAGATAAACTCTCCCCATGCCATAGGAATGTGGAATTTCCTTCACTGCGGTGGGATACGAGTGCAGTCCCACAAAAAAATGTCTCCCCACTTCAGCGAGCCTGGAACAGTAGCGCGCTCACCGCTTGCTGCAGATGTTCACGGTTCGTACCCAGCGGCCGCCTTGATTAATATTGCAGTGAGCAATAACCATAATCACACTAGGCGCCATCTGCTCCACGGTAGACGTTACAGATCCCCTGACGTAATTTGCAAAAAGTAAGCCATTGTGTGCCAGTGGCAAGGTCAAATTTGCCAAATTCAAAAATTACCGGCAAAATCCTCTACTTGGATTAGGCACAGCAATCAGTGCCCTCGACTAGCAGGTTAACACCTTAATAAAGATGGTCACTGCATCGCGTGCTTTCAGGTGCAATTCTGCGGACGTTTAGAACACTCTTCCGATAAGCCACTGGAGCTATGAAATTTGAAATCTATATTGAAAACTCATTTGTTTAGAACTGATAGTTGTGTTTAGTTTCTGCCAGATCATTACGTGGCTGAGCTCACGTACTATTGTTTGATAAATATGCATTGTTACACAGCATTGTGTAACACAGCATTGTGTAACAATGTACTTCTGATTCCTGAACCTCTAATTAGCACGGTTGGCTACATATGGTGTGAAAGAAGTTCAACATATATAAACATAAGTCACTCTTGAAAATTATAATTTCCTGGTCTATTAAATTATCATCTGGTTAAACAAATACACTTAAATGTAAATGTACAGACACTCATATGTTTCATGCTTCTCAACCAAACTGTTCTGTCTTGAGCGACAATCCTCACGTTCATCGGTGTCTGATGCAAAACTACAATCTCAAATGCTTGGTTGTGTTATTTTTTTACGGTTCTGAGCCCAAGCCGTGAGATTTTTAGTTTTAAATAGGTCCCTGCTTGACAACGGTGTCAGCCACGGCTAACAAATCGAACTCCAAATGATATAAACACTCATACCACGTAATGCACGTGCCTCTTGTTAAAACCAAAAAAGCACTGAGGGCATTGGAGCAGCTCAGCTGGAGGCAACGTTGACTTTCGCTGCCAGCGGCTGGAAATGTGCACCACGCGCACTACTTACCACCTCGTAAAACAGGGTCCCAAACACCTTGCCGCTGCCTTGCAGGCAGCTTGGAGGGCATTCGTACCTGGTGACAGAAAGGCAAAAATCCACCACAGTTTCTGGTGAACGCCTTTCAAGGTCACTCGGTGCCCATTCGATAAACACGAGGGGATGGGGGCGGGTGGGGGGGGGGCATTCACAACACGAATAACTATTTCCATCTGTACCATCCACATCTTGGTATCCCAGGATCTTTCACATCAGTGTTCCAAAGTGCCTTTATATGTGTGCTGATTATGGCCTTTTTGAACGTGCTTTTAAATATCCTTTCGAATCCACCCTTATTCATGAGAATACTTTACGACGTGTTTGACGTTCAAAATCTTCTTCGGTTAAAAGAGCTTGTGTCAAGAAGGCTGTGATGGCGCTTGTGTGGACTACAACCCCGCAGTCGAGACGTGCTGGAGAAAAGCCTCGAACATCTGACGCGGCTCCTCCTGTATATGTGTATGTGTGTTGAAGTTTTTTTCGCACTGTACGCAGCCAACCGTGCTAAACGAGGTGCATTATTGGCAGTTGATTTTCTTCCATTAACTGTTATATTCATGTATGTATGTCTCGCTTGTCTTTGGCAATATGTTCAGGAGCTGAATGCCAATGTCAAGAATTGCTCACCACGAGAGAGGGCTTTAGGGGGGAGTTGTTGGAGTTTTACTCCTCCTCCGTAGAAGGAGCGCAGACCTTAGTGGCTTACCGTGTGGTCCACGGTTTGGATTGCCTGGCCACAGTCGCAGCGCTGTGGCTTGTCTTTAATTAACAAAATTTGATGAAGGAGATGTGCGCATTGGCCTGTTGATGTTCTGATGCGGTTGAATCAGAGTGAAAAAAAGTATTTATACCGGAGGAATCTGATGAGATATACAGTAGGCGCGAGTAAGAATGTTACAACAAATACAAAAACACGAAAGGAGTTTTAGGAAAGTTATGCAAATCACACAAAAAATCTCCACATAACACTCAACTATTTGATTTTACCAGCTAAAGCCCACCCAGTGTCTTGCGGTGTGCGACAGCGACAGAGCACTTTGGCCGTTGGTTGTGATGCACGGTCAAACGTACGAGTCAGGGCGACCCCACGAAGCAAGAGGGGCCGCGAGGAGCTCTGCGCGTACGCGACGCTCGCCCTGCCAGCGGTGGCACTCACCGGTTGCACGTGCTGCCCTTGCACTTGTCGCGGAACTTGGCGTCGCAGCTCACGAGCTGGGCTGCACGAGACACGGGGGTCGTGCGGTGTCAATGAGCAGCTTCACCTTTACCCCTCCGCCCGTTCCAACTCAACATCGGCGTTAGCTTTCAATCAGTCGCAACGTGAAACTGTTTATTGCCACCAAAAGACAAAGCCAATGTGTCTGCTGCTTCAAGGCCTCACTGAGCACAGATGATAGTTTCCAGGGCTGGTCCCTGAGCAGCAGTGGAAATTCCAGATTCCCATCCTGGGGCCACATTGCGACTTCCCACAAAATGCTCATCACATGATCAGTCCCAGAAGGATGATTGGTCTTGTTAACTCACGGTTACAATCAAAGCTATTTAACAACGCTGGTATCATATTTAATGTCCTTACACCAGGCAATATTATAACACGGTCCAATGATGCTGCTACATGTGCTCAGCTAATGATCAAACTATAAACTAAAACTATTTTTTATTTTACCAGGTAATGCCCACTAAGCTATGTAGCTCTTTTTCAGAAACGACCTAGCCACAAATGATAGCTCAACACATTGGCTTATCATGGGGAAATTTATAGCAGCCAAATACTCTAAACGCACGTTTCTAAATGTGGAGGGAAAAACCGGAGGACACGGATAAAAATCCACGCGACCATGGGGAGAGAGTCACGCAAAGTCCAAGTAAACAGCAGGCATCAGGGTCGGAATCGAACCCACGAGCTCCTGCATACCAGGCGAGGTAGTTAACATCTCGCCACCACGGCGCCCCAAAGGCCTGACGTCCAATCAACCCGCTATGCACTCCGGGTCGTTGTGGACATTGAGGCGGCCGTGTGCGGGGACGTTGCCCCTGGCGTGGGGCCCTGGGCGACTCACACATCTTGTCGTGGCTCGTGACCGTGCGGCCGCGGCTGGGCGGGCGCGTGGGCCGGGGGCGCGGCCGCCTCCGCCGCTCGGGCCTCTGCACGTAGTCCACGCGGTTCGTCTCCTCCTCCTCGGGTTCCTCCGGGGAGTAGCTGCCGTCTGTGAACAGAAACGCGAGCGCGCGGCCGGCACAGAGCGGTGAGCGGGCGGGCGGGTGGGCGGGCGGCGTGAGCACGTGCTCGCTGTTGCTCGTCGTTGCGGGTTATCGCGAAGCGGGGCACGGACTTTCCGGCGCGCTCACGCGTTGACGAATGGGCAGTTGTCCAAAAGTAGTTGGCGGATAAGCGGCCACATCGCTGTTATTTCAAACTGACTGAGCTGGGATAGCTTTCACCAAATATTGGTGGAGGCTGCCTTGCTGCTGACATTGTAAATTAGACTCAGCAAGATGTCTCATTTGGTGTGGAGCTCAAGAGCAATCGTTTTTACTTGACAAAAAACAAGTTTTTCCCTAAATTTTAAGTTGCACTTTATTTTTAATGAAAGACGGGCCATCGCTTGAGCGAACGATACTTGAAATGTTTTGTCATCGTCTTGGTGTGTTGTTTTTTTATTCGTTTCAATAATGTTCAGTTGATCTGTTTGAACAATTTGCGTTACTTTTGCTGGAGAGAACGCCCGTCAGTTTGCCTTCACCTGAGTCTGCATTATGCATAAAGGAACTGAGTACATCCATTGCACTGATTCATTATCCACAGCTCTGTGAAGTGTGTGCGGTGGTGATGGTGTGGGAGGAGTCACTCCTCCATGACCTGCGCATTCGTGACGGCATGGAGTAAATATAATCACAAGTTATTATTTTTACTTTATATTTGCTGTAATATAAATCTTATTTTTGTGGCACAGCTTGTTCACTGTATCTGACAGTCCAAAAACCATTAGGTAAGCCGAACTCACCCACCAACATTCGCCAACGTCTATAATCGTTTCGGCCGTCAATGTTTTGACACTTGCATAATTATTTCGCAATTTAATAACTGTACAGCTACGACCATTTTGCCTGACTCAACGCGGTAAGGTAAAACAAAAACACATAGAGACCTCGCCGAAGTCTAACTTCATTACTTATGTGAATATGAGAGAAAAAAGTGACAGGAGGTGCACAGTGTTTTATGCGCACTTGTGTCCAACGTAGACATCGCTTAAATCCAGCACAAACAGTCGCACTTGTCAATTGAGCCTTGTGGCTAAAGGGGCCCAAGCTTTTTACTGAGGGGTAGCTTCTGAGCAGTGATCTCCACTCGGCTGGCCCGCCTTGGCTCACTCGCACCACAGCAACGTTGACTATAGGACCATAACATGCATTGGGGGGGGGGTGGGGAGTAGGAGGGTGGGGGCAGCTGGGGCAGTTTGCTTCAGGCCTCAAATCTGAGAGGGCCCAAGCTCAGAAAGGGCTGGGGAAGGCCTCAGAACAGGTCTCATCTGGTATTTTGCCCCAGACCTCCAAAAATCTTTCAGCAGCCCTGTTTGGCTATCATGAATATCATCACTTAACCCTTTCCCATTCTGAGACATCTGAAAGTTTCAGTGTGGGTCTGGTTCACCGCTGAATCTCAGGACACACAAGTGGTTTCCGTTAATTTTATTTAGAGAGGCATAGTGCCGTTGTTTTTAAAGACATTGTACTCACCGCAGAGAACTGTAGCGACACGACCGCCGCACTCTACGATAGCTGGTGCCCAACTGTGAGACACGTCCTCACGCATGGCCTTGTGGGAGCCTCGGTACCGTTAAAGTTATTACATTTTTTCTTCCAGTTCTATTCCGATGACGTACATGTATGATTCCGGAACCGCAAGAAAAACTGATGGCATACACGCACGTCATCGGAATACGAAAGGGATAATAGATAATAGATTTAAGATAAGATAAGATACACTGCATCTCCCACACAGTACGTCTCAGTAGTATTCGCAATTGTCACGTCGAGTTTCTGCTGCGTCTTGTACAATGCTTTGAAATATCTGATGTTAAGGCGTGTTATAAACGTAATCATCCCGAGTCTATGCCGGGGTCCGGGTCAGGGGGAGGCCCGCCGCTGGGGCCAAGATGAGGAAGGCCAGGACTTTACGTATGTATATGTGTGTACGTTGAACGTCTACCGCACCGCGCGTAAGCCAACCGTGCCAATTGTAAACTTGCCTCTGTAGCAGAGGTTGTCCCGGCAGCTGCCGCCGTAGCTGGGGGGGCACTCGGAGCAGGCTCGGCCGGACTTGTACGGAGAGAGCCCAATCCAGTTTCCCCTGCGGAGAAACGACGCGCACGCACGCGCGTGGAAGGTTCAAGCCGAGGCTTATCGTTTAAAGAAGACGCGGGATTTCACCAACGCTGAGCAAGGCGGCGGCGTTATTTTGCACGCGCTGCCGAAGCAATATTAGGAAAAGAATAACATTAACGACAATAACAACAAGGTACCGCTTTACAAACGTTGACATTTCTACTTACGTTGTAAGTTATATACTAAAGCGTATAGGAACATTGTGCGAAACACTCCTTAGTGGCACGTGCATAGAAGTAATGCACGTAGGTCATAAACATCGTTGTACGGACGTAGCCAGGAGATTGATTGAGTGTTGTTTCCTCACATGCGTAGGTTTCTTTCGGGGTATTACGGTTTCACCAGAGATGCCAAACATCAAAATGCTGCACGAACCCTCTGAAATGAGTATTCAGTGAGGGTTTTCTTTTCTAGGTCAAGAAAGCAACTTATTTAATTCACTCCTGTCCTTGTCAAGCCTGCCTCTCTGCATTTATAACCGAATTAACAAGTATCACTTTGGTTATACCGAACAAACTTCCGGTGCAATAATTGTTCCCATTTCGCCCTGGACGTGTTGTGCGTGCGATGTGGGAGCGAGAGGCCACGCACTTGGGTGAGTAATTGCAGACCAGGTAGACTGCTTTCTCCCAGATCTGGCCCCACACGTCCATGTTGTAGCAGGTGTTGATGGCACAACCCACTCTGTTGGTCGTCGCCCAGACGAGCTGCACAGGGGTCGGGAATGGTCAGGAGCTCTCTCTCTCTCTCCAAAGAAAATATCCAGCAGTGCTTCTCAGTTTCATGGAGATATACAAACATGAACGGGTGTGTGTGTGTGTATACATATCCCTGCGTATGTATGTATATTGTGCAATTTTTTCTGGAAGCGGTAGTGTCGTGGTTAGCGCGCAGCGCTACGAACCCGGCGACCCGAGTTCAATTCCCGCTCACGGCCAACACCAGTGACGATTATCTGAGCCGGTCCTAGGCTTCCCCGAGGTTAACTCGGCCTCAAATGAGTACCTGGTGCGATGTGTAAACATTGCTACTAAGGAGACAAAGGCGGCCGGGCGTAGTGCTGGCCACCCACCCCCTTGTGCGCCATGCCAGCTTTCATAGGGGCTCGCTAACAACACTTGCCCCAACAGTCTGTTAAGGCTATATGGGGGATCTTTGTCTATGTTTTGCGAGTATACATATCGCTGCGTATGTGTATGTATTGTGCAATTTTGGGGAGCGGTGGCACAGTGGTTAGCGCGCTGCGCTACGAACCCGGCGACCCGAGTTCAATTCCCGCTCACGGCCAACACCAGTGACGATTATCTGAACCGGTCCATGGGCCACCCACCCCCCTCGAGTGCCATACCGGTCTCAATAGGCGCTCGCTAACAGCACTTTCTCCGACAGTCTGTTATGGCTATACAGGGGATCTTTGTCTTTGTAGTGTGCAAAGTACTTTGTGAGGGATTGAAAGCCCATCTCAAAAAGCCACAATGCCTGGTTCTACCCCGTGTCCCATTGCCAGCGAGCATTTCGTTATTTCACATGAGCCTGGCACACGTGCCGTGATGACGTTCCCACCGCTGTGTGTGTGTGATTTTGGTTCGATCCCTGGCCACCACTAACATCAGTGGTGAGTGATGAGCACCTGCTGCCACGTGTAAACATAAGCACCGAACGCAATGCTGGCCACACTGCCCCACTTGTGCGCTATGCCAGCCTTAGTAGGTGCTCGCTAACAGCACTTTCATCGGCAAATCTGTTCAGGCTATGCAGAGAGTTTTGCCTTTGTTTATATTTGTGAGGAGCCGTGGCATAGCGGTTGAAATTTGTACACACACATGCCACGCACACATACAAACACTGCACATACAACACACGTCATACTTATTTTATACAAATCTCACATCTATGGGTATATTTTTACATGCTTATGCACTGGCCTAATTTGTTTAGCTCCAGCAAAAAGGACTCAACACCAGCGGGGCTGCAGCGGCGGCAGACGAAGCTGGCCTGGTGAAGACGAACTGACGGCTTTTAAACGCACAGACCCGGTAATTGATTCAAGCAGCAGACATTTGTCTGAAAACGCGCAGAACCTTTTCTCTGAGCCCTCCCCCATCCCTCCCTCCGTCCTTTGTAACTCGGAACTAAAAACCACAGAAATCTTAAAATCACCACGCTCTGTTCCCAACACCAACAGCGCGACGCTCGGAGGAAATCAAGAAGAAAAAAACGTGCAGTCGCTTTTAATTACAGGAAACTTGACGACTCTTAAATGAGAGCTGTATTTTCATTACCCTTGAGTTTATTTGTCTAAAACATTAAATGTACGTTGCACGCACCAAACACACCACGAAACATTGCATAATATGCACGCGTGTAGACTTTATAATGTAAACATCGGTATTGTACACAAATTGCATGCATAAGTGCATTGGTTTGCTTTTTGTAGCTTACCAAGAGACGTGGAATATGGAGGCACAATAATGCATGCATTCATGCGCATGCAGATATGAATATTCAGTGATACATTCAACACGCACGAATTCCTCAAGACAACAATACATACGTAGATATTTCATATGCATTCATTCATAACCGCACGTCTCATACGCACAGACGATGTAGTGACTGACGCAAATTCGAATGATTTTCTGGAAGAGAACTGAAATCTGGCACGGATATAATCGAGTCTGTGCCTATAGCTGAAAGAAAAATAAAATAAAAAGCAACATTTTGGAAATTGGACCCTCAAATTTATGACCCTCTAATATTTTGGAAAATATTTACTTTTACTTTTTGTTGTTGTTTTTGAACCTAGGCCAATGAAAGTTTATATTTGGAGGTTTTGAATGGTGGAGAATCCAAAATGTAAACTCGGATTTTGAGAACTAAACTGTGCGAGGAGTACACGAGTGGAGAATGTGACGCTAAAGTCGATAGAATGAAGGTCTACACACAAATACGGTAGAAGGAATTATTCCTATTATCTGCGATTAATTATCCACGGTTTGTTGTACATGCGCATACAACATTGCGAATACGACTATCCACAATGTGTAAGCCCCCACATCACAATCTACGGCATTGTATTAAATGCGCGGATACGAGAAAACTGCTTTTTGTGTTGAGTTTTGTTGTCCTTCTTCCGCAATTGCGATTAGCGATGTACGGTGCGAAAGAAGTTCAACATACATACATGTAAACATATATAATACTAAACGTATAATTAAATTATACGTACACGTACGTACATTCATACACGTGCACCACACGTGGTAAATGTGCACGTGCATTGGTACGCCTTTAACACGCGTGGCCTGCACGAGAGTGCGTTGTGTGGGCTTCCAGCTCAAGGGTTAATGTGGCAAAAAGACAAATAAAAGATTTGAAGAGAGAAAAAGCACAGGGCATGTGTTTTCTTTGCAAACCCGTCTGCTGCTGACCCAGTTTTCTTTGCCTGGTCAAATGTTAGCCTGACTCTGAATGCTGTCTGAGGCCCCGCGGGCACGTTGTGTTGTTCGGCGAGCTTAACGCTGCGAAACTTCGCTCTCAAATTCCCCAGATGCCAAAAAAAATGAATGAACGAACGAACGAGCGGAGAGCGAAAACACGCACGCGCCCACGCGCCCACGCGCGCACGCACATGCACCGGGCTGTGGAGCGCTGCTGAATCTAGCGGGATTGTGTTTTTCGCGTGAACTTCCAGCCGTGGTTTGCTCTCTCCCTGGCACAGAACGGAAACCGAATTAGGGGGCTCTTACAAGAACCCATTCCAGTTCGCACGCGCGGCCGCCTGTGCAACGCCGAGCGCACACGGCCAGACTGTCGCTACGCTCTGCCCCAATTGCAATTACGCAATCGCACAAGTGTCCGCTTGTGTCACACGGCCAGAGAAATATCCACTCGTATTACTAATTGTGGATTCGCTGTATTCGCTTTACACTTATTGTTCACCTTTGTGGCTTTTGCCGGTTACGCTGTTGTAATTGTGCCTGACATTTTTATTGTTTCTAATATTGTAATTCAAGCGTGCTTTTTATTTGCTGTCAGTTAAAGTCGCCTTCAAAATGCTTACCTTGTGAAGTACGCACTGAAACTTCCCATTAGGAAACTTTCGGAACAGTGCGTACAGAGCCCAAATAGCACAAAACCATATTTACACAGCCACCGATTTAAATTTTCACTCGCTAAAAGGCGCAGCCAAAGCTCACTTTAAACCGTAGCGAGCCCAATCCCACGTGAAGTTGAGACGGGTTCAACTCAAACTCCTCCTTCATCTTAAAAATAAGCAAGTCATAGAGACACACAGCATCAATGAAAGTTGCGGTCATCGGTGACCATGTTTAGATGGTGAAGCGTGACAACTTTCGGAGTGAGAGCATGAGATTCAGACGTCGGCTGTCAGGCTCCGACACAGTTATACAGTACTCTCAATCCTTCCGAGGCCATCGAGGCATCCACATGACCTCATGTTAACGGAGTTTGACTGCAAAGATATCAACGGCAAGGACAGTATTTTTGTGGATGAAACGTGAACCTGAGACTTAAACCAGCCCGCTAGCGCACAAATTCGAGTTTGGGGTTGCAGATTTTGCCTGGTGGGGATGTTTGTAAAAAAAAAAATCGTCACATTATAAAAGCGAATCTGGCTGTTGCAGCTGCATCAATGGGTTCAGCTGCATCAAGACATGTGGCCTACCTTTGGAAAAACAGAAACCAGACAAAACTTTTTAAAGGGAAGATTATACTCGACTTAACACGGGACCCAGCACGCTCCATTAAATCGCACCTATCAACCGATTCCGCATCGCAGCGTGCACGCCTGAAATATATCAGTTTGAGCCTCTTCCATATGTAGTGACATAGAATCGGTCACTTAGCAGCAAAGCGCTTGTTGCTGGCAGAGAAGGGGATCTGCAGTTGCAGCAGTCCTGACTGACAGCAGGTCACGTGATAGACCAGAGACAGGGATGTAGGGGAAAGGTGATAGAGGGGGCACGTGAGGGAAGCCGCGAGTTGGTTCTAGAAAGGGGGCGTGGCCGGGGTGGAGCGAGGCCACGCTGGGAGGATAAAAGGGGACCCCTGAGCAAAGGCTCGGGGCTGTCGTTTGGAGTGGGATCCCCTCGTCGTGCTGCTGGAGTCTTCGTCGCTGTCTGCGTCTTCACCATCTCGACGTCGTCAGTCAGGCAGTCGGTCAGCTGTCGTGACTGGGAGCTGTAGCTTACTCTGTGTGAACTGTTAAGGCCGTTATTAAATAGAGTGCCTTCTACTCTTCGTGTCTCTGAGGCAGTCACTACACATATTTAGCAGCTTTTTTTCCACTCAGCAGTAAATGTATTTTGAGTCAGCAGATGGTAGATGATTCAAAGAAAAAAAATACCGATAACCCCCGCCGCTCCATGTTTTTATCCAGACTAATTCAAACAACATGCTGGAACCATCATGCTCCATTTAAGTTTTTTAAACGCACATTGTTTTGCTTTGTTTTTTTATGCAACATGTTGTGTTTTTGGTTTCAGCAAACGTTTTTATAAATACTGCTGTTGTTGTTTTAAGCAGCTTGGTGGCATTTTATTTGCCACCGCTGCCAAGCGTCTCTCCGGACTGGCTCTAAAGCTGAGGTCAAAGTGTCTAGCTACTCAAACGAACAGTCGCGTGGTTCTCATCACCGCTGGAAGTCCCGGTCCACTGATGGAAATTCATCATTCCTATGACGGGAGCTAATCGCTCCATAGGACAACCACCGTTTACTTAGGGCATTTTAAAACTCTATCCATTCCGGGTGGCTCACATTTGAAAGGTTAAGAGTTAAAATTGCTGGTTGGCGGTTGACTCAACCCATCATCTCCACATGGTAAATAAAATGACTACCACTTTGTAGGAAAATCAAGAGTTGGCTGTGCGATGCAAATGTCCCATGCCATAGGAATGTCTACCACTGTCTTCGGGCTGAAAAGAAGAGATAGGCACTACCTCAAAGCTCAATTGAGCAAAACAATGAAAAAATAAAAAGAAAAAATAACAGGGGGGGGGGGCTTGAATAATCGTGCCATCACATGAGGTGGCAATGCATCTGGTATATTGCGCCCGCTATTGTGCAGACACCGTTTATACGAGACACCTGTGTTTACGTTTGGCCAACGTCCAAGCCGACAGCAGCAGGCCTTGGAGGCCGCTTTTGCGCTGTTGAGGGAAACGCTGCGTCGGCAATTTTCGCAGGAGACGCAGAAAGCTGGAATCAAACCTGGCAGCGTTCGACAGGAAACGCGCTGGCCTCCCTGCAGCGAGCCCTTGTTTGAAAAAAAAACCTATGAAAATAATAATTTAAAGGTCTAAAAATATCTCGTAATCACATGCCTATAGGAATTCTTGGAACATTGTTTTTTGAAGCTTTAAAAGTTTCGAAAGCTTCCTGGAATCTGCTTGTACATATATACTCCACAAGCAAGTACCGATTACATTTCTGGCGATGAGATTTAAGAATGGAAAGCAGGAGGGGAGATTGCCACAGAGGGCAGTGATTCCTTCCTTTTGTTCTGGGTTAGATCAAGACTGTCCCGATGTGTGTATCACCTCACAGTTGACTCAGCCCAAAATACGCATATAGAGCTGCGAACATTGGTCGTTAAGGATTATGAGGGTGTTATTGGAGAACCAGAAATGTAAGGTTCACAGGCAGCACTTACACATGAACCTTTGAAATACAAGAGCCCATTATACACAACACTGCAGGGGGGGAAAAAATATTAAATTGAATGCGGGTGTAAAAGGGTAATTAATCTTGTGGCAACCGCTTTTATAAACAAACTATTCAAAGTATTGGCGCGAGAGTTCATGTCCACACCAGAGCTCTTGTCCCGCTGAAAGTCCCTCCTTGAGGCAAAATTCTGGGCTCGAGAATATGGCGAGCTGGTTTGAATTACGCACAGATATACAAAATCCAACCACGTTCTCAATCATGCGCCGGGAGAGATCTGGCAGGGCGATCTGGCTGGCCGGGCATCAAAGCCGCAGCACCACGGCTTTCCGGACGATTCACGTGAAACCGCGAAAAAATTCCAACCACGATGGGCAGGGATGCCCGCAATGGCATTCGTGATGCTGTTGTTCCCGTGCGTTATTAAGAGCAGTCATGCGCACTAATTACACAAGTCAGATCGTGGCTTTGCATGGTTTGCTTTGTCGGTGACACTCTGGGTAGATATCAGAGCAGATTGTATGGAAGTGGTATGGTTTATCTATCATCTCTCCAGCCAGCCGTTCTCTGGGGTTTATTACGTTATTATGGTCGACTACAGTTGTCCCATGGAGAGGCTGACCCCCACCATAGGACGTTTGAATTTCTGCTCGTGCCTCTGGGCTGCCCGATGGCGGTGGGTGCTGCCGCATGCTTGTTTGAGCAGAGAGACAGCGTCCTGTTTATTTCACGCTCATTTGACGAACAACGACAATGGCACTCGGCTGAAATATTTGGACATAACTCAAACTGCAACAATACACACTGTTCAGATCAGGGTGCACACCTACAGTCGCACTGTGACAAGCCACAGCACCTTGGCGATATTCCCCATCCTTGGCCATCGAGACATCAGCGCTTTTGATTTCTCTCCATGACATTGGATGAAGAGGGGGTGCATTTGGCGACATATGAATCGGGCCTTTGAATAGTCATGTCTCAAACGGCTTACGCATAATTAGTTTGCATGTAATTGTTGCTATGCTGACCACCGGTGTACTGTACTCGTAACGATTTGGCACGTTCTGTTTACGTGACAAACCTTACTAATTGGCTGTGTCGGGTGGTGGCGGGTTTAACGACGCATTTATATTTCCGCGATCTAGCCCAAACAAGCTGTATTATGGATGATCAGTATTGCTTTGTGTTTTTGGCTAAATGACCGTTCAATCCGTGCTACCTGATCTCACGTATGGTTCAGAAACACGGTCATTCACGGAACATATAGAACAATTCCAGAAAGAGATGCACAGTTAGACTTACAATGAGAGACAGAAATAGGAACACGTGCATTAGAGAATATACACAAAAGTATGACATATTTCTCACTCGTTAATTAAAGTAAGTGGGATAGGACAAGACATGTTAAGGCTGTAAGAGATGATGGCCGATGGTTCGAGAAAAATGGAGTTGCAGCCAAAAGCTTGGACCGCTTTTGAGAGCACATCTACAGAGGAGATGGAGCAATGAAATCAATTCACGTGTAAGTGCCAGGTAGCTTATTACTTCGCAGAATCGTGTGAGATGGCTCAGGACGATGAACGAACGGACGAGTCAATGAGGAGGCAGGAGGGAGCGCGGTGCACTGACCTGCGTGTAGTGCGTGCAGACCGCCCCGTTGCAGCGGAAGGGGCACCAGGGGTTGCACTCCTGCTCGTAGGGGTACTGATAGTCCTTGGCCTCGTCGTACCAAGCCTGCACGTGGAACGATGGTGGCCGGTGGCTGCGAAAGAAGAAGATGTGAGGCCACATTAACAAACGAACAGTGGAGAGTCGCGAGTGAATACGCCGCACCACTTAGGAAATCATCCAACATTATCAGCACCTTGATAGATTCCACAAGTGACCATTTTACATCGCCCCCCACCACCGCCACCAACCGCTAAGAGAAGCAGGTTGAAGTATTGATTACATAAATACAGGTATTTTTACGAACATTTGAGTGCGGACTGTAATTCAGAATCACAATCTTTGTTTATCCTGTGGAAATCCGATGAGCTATGAAGCTCTTTTGCACAGACGTCCAGCAGATTTCTCGCGCCACTGCTGGTGGAAAGACCTCCTCCGCGAGAGAGAGCCCTTGAGAGTTCCTCTAGGCAGTGTTCGGCCTACTCCTCCATGCTGCCCGGACATCTCGAAAGAGGTGGGATTACTCACACGTGACCCCACCGCACGTGACCTCTGCTGATCGACTTCCGTCGGCGTACGAATTCAATCCGCAGCGGCGGGGGTGGCTTCAGAAGCCTGCGTGCCGTTTGTCTCAACTGTGGAGCCGGGATTGCAAAGTGCTCGCGTGCGAACCATCGCGCCGCGGCAACATCCCGATGCTCATGTACACGTCGTTCAAGTTGGATTATTTGGCATTCCATGGCCACTGACACAGCATCGTGTTTCACATCGATTCTGGTTTTTTTTTACGTAAATCAACGTGTCTTTTTTTAACACAATTTAAAATCATTCGTGTTGTTACCAAATACGCGATATTAATAGAAACAGCTCGTGCCAACTCTGTGAATAGCTTTCATGAAATGTTAACGGGACCGCTTTTGCAGTCATGTACCACATTCATCATTAGCACTGCCTTATAACAAAAATAATGTAATAGGTACATCTAATTCTTGCTCTGAAGACGGGCCACTATATAAAACATCTGTTTTATAAGATAGTGTGAATTAAATAAAATACTTAAAAAATAAAGTAATTAACAATCTCCAGTTTACTGGTTTATTCAATGCAATACTGCTTGATGAATGCCTCCCTATGCCTTTTGGTGATGGGGCTTGTTTGACCACACCTCACCAGACTGATCACTACCGGTTGGTGAAGAGGAGGTGCTCAGGACAGATTCAGGGCGCTGCGGTGGTAGACAGGAAAGCGTGGCTTCAACCCCGACCTTGACACTTATATATTTGGAGTTTGAATGTTCTCCCCGTGTTTTTTTTTCTAAACATGCGTTGTATTTCTACTATAAATGTCCACATGATAAGCCACTTCGTTGAGCTATCGTTTGTGGCCAGATCGCTCCTGAAAAATGGCGATATAGCTCAGTGGGCCTTACCTGGTAAAATAAAAAATAGTAGGAGTAAATAGTAATACTGTAGATGTCACTCGCCGCTGGTGTTAGCCACAGACAGGAATCAAACTCGGGTCGCAGGCTCACAGGACAGTGCGCCAATCAATGCATCATCGGTGCTCCCTCACGTTTTGTCCAGACACCGCGCGCGTTGTAAAAATGTGCTCTCAAAACTATAATTCAGTTTGAATGGTCTGATTGCTCTCTCTGTCCGCTCTGAAGAAGAGCCATTGTCCCAATTGCGTTAGCCTACTGTGTCTCCTTTGTTACAACTGCGGTGTTTAAGGAAGGAGACTGGTGACATTTGTTTGATCTGTGCCAACACAACACATTCAGTCCTCCTCGATCCATCCTGCAGACGCACACACAACCAAATCACTAGCAGAGGTGGTGGCGGTGGGGAGGGCGGTGTGCAAGCCGTCTATGTACACCAACCGCGTGGAGTTGAATTGAGCTGTAGCTCAATAACTGCACGTGACGGACTGCGGCAGCGCTGACCGCAGCTGCGCGCTCCGCTCGCCTGCCACGATGCTGCAAGATCACGTCCTGGTGCTCGACTTAGCCCGTCATCGCTCCGGGGTGAACAAAACGACGACCGCTTTGTAGAAAGTCAGCCAAAGGGTTCCACTGAGATACCGCTCCGGAAACAAAGAATTGGGCCACACAAGGGCCATGATGCACTCTGCCTATTTGTTACCGGAAAATTAATTTACTCTGAGCAACTATGGCGGCTTGGTACGGCAACGGCATGCTTTTGTAGAGCAATGGCAAAATGGAATTCTGTTCGCGATATTAAAAACAGAGTTTGTTGAAGAGTGTATTTGTTGAACAATTGTTGGTCTACGGTGTGGAAGATGAGGCCAAGTTACTCGAGTCGAGGGCCTCTCTAGAGCTAGTTAGTTAGAGGCACTTCTGCCAGCAGTGACGTGAGCGAGGCATTGCAGGGCTGCGCCTTCACCTTGACCATTGTCCTACAAAGCACACAGCCTTGGGTCGTTACGTGACCTGATTGGACATTGCCATCGCAGTTACAGACATCATATTTGTCCAGGATTGGGCAACTACACTTTTAATGTATGTACGTTGAACTTCTTTTGCACCAATCGGAGGTGCAATTTTTTTTTTTACAATAAAACATTGCCAAGTGTAAATGTCTGGCAACAATTGTCATAAAAAAATATTTCCCGAGTACATCTTGGGACTTTAACGAGTGGATAGCGACCCAAAGCTCATTAATAAGTGAGATAATGACTTTGAGATGAGATATTTCTTGATGTGAGTCAGCTGTATCTCTGGGACACTTAAATTCTCCAGTTCACTCTGCTTTCAGCAATGCACCCCACTCCTTTACTCCTCCCCATGGTCCCGTGCTCAATGTGAGATTAATCTAAAGGCGCACAATTCCGCGTGTAAGAGCACAACAGGAAGCCAGCAATCGTCTCTGGCCAGCACTAGACACTCATGTGGTTTAATAAAAAAAAAAAACAGGAATTAAATGCTTCCATGCCTACCCTAAACGATGTGAGCCTACTTATGTGTTGCCTGCTCTGGACACCTGATGTACCAGCTGATGGGCATTTCACTTACATTCTGTGTACACGAGCCATCAGCCCAGACTGGTTCAAAGCAATTGTGCCCAATACCCTGCCAGCGTTATGAGCTATGCAAATGAGTTTCTAATTAGGGGTTAACTCTCTCCAAAAATGAAAAGAAAGTACCACTTTGTGGGAAGTCAACCGCGGTTGGGTGTGGATGTGCTATGGATATACTGGACCCTGCCATGCATCTGTGCAAAATGCTGTCCAACTGCTCAGGGCTGCAAATAGACATGTGCTTCAACCCACCACACGCTTGGTTTTAGCGCGGGGAGGGAGATAATTTTTTTTATGAAGAGCCGCCAATTATTTTGTCACCTTGCGCCACGTGCAGGAGGAGTGAAAGATTGCGCGGTGGTGCGAACAGAGGTGGCACGCTTTGATTCGACGGATTTGTGACACAGCAATGAGAGCCCACCGCTGTCACTTGGGGACAGATGGATGTAGGGCCGGACAGAGTCGCAGCCAAGGCATTGGCTTTCTCACGCGCCCACGGAAAATCAAATTAATCAGAGGTTCTGAACGTTTTCACTGCCGTGGTCCCATTCGTGTGGTCTCTGGCTGGTATGCAGGGTCCCTCAGCGGCAAACTGTCTCGTGTTGTGAAGGAGTCGAAGCAACTAAGGTTGCATTACTGTGTGCCGACTGGGTGGGTCAGCGATAAGAGCGAGCAGCTCCCGGTCAGAAGGTTGCGAGTTCACATGCTGGTTGGTTCAATTGACTTTAGAGCATCATTCCTCTAGAGTCGATCAAATGAGCACTTCTCTTTGGGGAAGACAACACAAGGTTGTTGTATGTATTGACTTGCCCCTGCCATAGGAATGTTGAATTTCCACCACTTGCTCAGGGCTTCAAATAGATGAGCACCGCCTCAATGTTCATTTCAGCAGGAATTGACTTTGACCTTTTATATTTTAAGAGAGATTATCGCAATGGTTCAATTTGTTGGCAGCTGTATATATTAATTTGATAAAACGATGATCAATGTCAAAATTACTGCGAGTATTTTGAATGAGACAAAACTGTCCACTGATTTTATGTATACTCTATGTTGCAGGTAAAACGAGTCACCCATCCCGATAATTGAATAAATTGCCATGATTCAGTGTCTTGTTAAAGTAGCGTCGCTCGTAGCTGCAGTGGCAACGTGAAGCTATTACGGACAATACTAATCAATAAACATTGATTTTAAAGCCTTGTTAGACCATGCAGCACAACATAAAAATGGCCACAGGCAACATTTTGCCAGTGACATCCAGTGGCGGCTCCTGCAAAATCTCTCAGGGGGGGCAAATGTCTGGATGATTGATAAGGATAAGGTCCACCCATGCAATGGATAAATTAACAGCTTAAGCACGTAAAGGCAACTTCACTTCTTTAATATTAATGAAAAATAAAGTGACTCTTACAATACATCTTGTTTGTTTCTATACTCACTATTAAAACAAACCACTCAAGTTTATTTTATTAAAGATTCCACTAGGTGGCAACAAATTATATTGTTGGATGAAACGTGCTTACGTATGATGACGTAAGCACGTATGATGACGTAAGCACGTTAGGGCGAGCCCTCCCGGAAGCCATAGAGAATGCATTGCAGCGCCCCCCGGTCGAAAAAAAAACATCTTTGAATGTAAGTCTATGGGGCCACTCGGGGCGATTCTCAGCCGGAGTGAAATCGCCCAAAAAGAGGCGGTACTCCACAGAACGTGACATGACGCTGATTGGACTATATCCAGAGGCACAGTGACGGCTCGCGTGACTCTGTGGTTGAATGACATTGGTGGTGCGTCGCCCAATCGCCCTAATGAAGAAACCGCCCCTGGTGACATCACTTCCTGCATGACGCATTCGGTGCAAGAGCGGTTGCTTGCAACTGCATGCAGCACACATCGTGGGTTGCACCAATGACGATCCACATAGCAAGGTTGCATGGAACTTGATCGCAAGATCATCTCAATAGCCATGGTCAATTCACTTCTGGATGATGGCCTCCTCAATTCCTCTCGCAGCCATGACGGTCTTGCAACGATCCATCTGTACAAGACCTCAGCTTATCACTCCTTAGCCTATGTGGTTGGCCTAGGAAGTGTATCATTGCCATTGGTTGCCACTTTTTTAAAATCTAAATTTAAAACTTGTCTCTTTCGAGCTGCTTTTTTTGTGTTTAGTTTGTTGTCCTTCCCCCGCACCTGCGATTAGCACGGTGCGAAAAATATTTTACATACATACTCTGCCATCAGTCTCAGACATCGGCCATGATGCCTTCCAGGGATCTGTCCTGGCAAAGCCCACTTACTTTTATAAGCAGACAACGTGATGATGTCCAGAATTTGTGATCGTTATGCCATGTGTTCCTCCTTCCATCTCTCAGTGTCATTCCAAACATGCAACTCTCTATGCTTATTTGTCCACTTTCCAACTTCATGTGTTTTTGCCAATGGACATTGGCAAAAACGAATCAACATGTCTGCACAGATAATGAGCATCGGTTGAAAATTTCTTTTGGCACAATGGTTCATTGCTTTTCATGATCATGGTCAGTTTTCCAAATAACACTCTGACCTAATTTCTGTCTTGCATCATTTCGATTCCAATCCACCTTCAATCATTGCCATGGGTGTACAGCACATGATGTATTTCTCGTTGGTGTCCCTCCAACAAATATCTTGTTTGTTTTTAATAGCAAACTTGGTATGACAATTGTGCTGCTCACAACGAAGTCCAACCTTGCAGCCTTCTTTATTAACTTCTTCAACACCATTCTTATCTTTGCACTCCTATCGTTTTTTTTATTTGCATTGTTTGCTGTTGTAACTTTCTGACCCGCGCCTAATGTACATCTGTGAAAAAAAAAAGCTTTACAGTTCGTCGGATTTCTCCAGGATCAATTAATTCTGATTCAATGATATCCCGCAGTTAATATCTCCCTTCATGCTTTATTCCTTCATATGTTCAATACAATTTTGAGAAAACTTCGTGACAAACTCTGGCAAGATCCGCGCTTGAAATGGTTTGTTGTTTTTGGAATCCACGCATTTACATGTGTGCCGTGATTTGTGAGCGCTAAGATGACCGCATCACATTTCCACAGAGCCCGCTGTCGTTTGCACGTCTACGCAGGCTCAGCATAATGACGTGTTTGATATTTACTTGTCTTTCCCAAAATCCCGATTTACATTATTGCATTGTGTGCTCGGTGGCATAAACATCTTTTGTCGGTACTCACTCGTTCGTCGGCTTTAACACTGTTTTTATTTTATTTTTATTTAAAAAAAAATAATTTTAATTTAATTTTTTACCTACGTGACTTTACCGAAAGAACTAAGAGTATTTAACATTGTACTCTCCATTATTCTGTTCAGAGTGATCTTCGTGAACACTTTATATCTATGTGCAATATGAGGCTAATGGTTCTCTGTATTTCTTCAAAAGTATTTTTTATCAGCCGTTGTGAGCAGGACAATGGTTGAGGCACCATTGCATGATTGCATTGTTCATTTTGCATGCAAGCGTTCAGTGAACAAGTCTGCAAATTTTCTTCCAACACCTTTGGTGATGATAGCCACACTTATACGATCTGGTTGAGGAGAAAATGGCTCTGTCTACTTCTTCAAGGGTGATATCTAGAACTTCCTCCTCTTCAATCTTTAAAACGGTTTGATTCTAGGTTATGTTATTACTGGACTCGGGGTGAGCATCTACAAAATAGGACCTTATGTAAATACTCTGATAGTGCGTTGTCTTTGTGTTGTTCGCCTTTTGGCTTGTCTGGTCTAACACTGGTTGAGACTAGGCCCTAAAGAAAGCTGTCTCTGGTGTAGGCCAATCAATGTCAAAGACAATGCAGAGATTATTTTTATCAGAGCATGTGTGTTTGCATGGTCACCACAAGTACGTGTGGTCAATGTAGACATGATTCCTTGCAAAAGGTTTATATTTGGTGTTTGAACATCTTAACACCTGTTTTATTGCCAGAAAGGGTAGAACCTATTGTTTTTTTTTCAAACAATATTATTACTATTTGCACTATAGAGCTCTACCTAGAATCAGCAAACTGTTAATTCCATAAATTCTCAAATGCTGTACCGAGTTTCATTTAAATTTAAACAAAATCTGTGTTTAAGGAAGTCTATTTCAGGGGCCCCCAACCCCCGGGCCACGGACCGGTGTGGACCGCCCCCATTATTTTATTTACCACTTCGTCCGCGTCTCTTTCCCGTACTGAGCACTTGTCTCAGTCACAATTTTGGTAAGCCCACAAGCTCTAACCCTAGCCAAAATGAGCAAAAAACAAACGTCGCTGGAGAGCTTCTTTGAAAGGGGGCAAAGACCCAATGATGACCCCCCTCCCCCCCGGTCCGTGAAAAAATTATCTTCCACGAAACCGGTCCCTGGTGCCCAAAAGGTTGGAGACCGCTGGTCTATTTTACATGCAGTTATCATTAGCCAATACAAAGCCTTGACCCTGTGACCATGTGACTCGGTCCTCCGCTTGTGATTGGCTGTTGGACGGTGCTGCTGTGCAGCATCGTTCCATGCACGTGGGTTACAGGAAGCGGTGTCACACGCAGCTCCGTTGCATGGAACTGTTACTGCATTCAGGGCAGGTACTGTGAGTTTAAGAATAAATATGAATCAATGCATCCTTCCCGCTTCTACTCCACCATGCACTCTTAACTTGAAACTTTACCTTGCAAACATTTTAAAAGGTATATATATACAATTGCGCTTTAGTGAATGCAAATTCTTATTCAGCAATGCCCACACGCATGCATGCACACACGCACAGCTACGCACGAACACTCGCGCACAGAGACGTGGTGATTATGTCACTGCACATTATAGCACTGTGAGTTCCTTTCACACCGAAAGTATGTGTGGCTTTGGACGTGAGCCAATGTTTAATTCTGCTTGAAGTGGACTGTCCTTACCGGTTAATGTGTGTGAGATTACACGTGCATGACAGCGAGCAGGATCGCCCAATGTAAACAACCCGGTGCAATGCATATTTGCTGTGCGTGTACCGACGTGGAGGCGCTGTGTGAATGTGTACAATGTGTGTACTGTATGGTATCTGTGTAGCGGTGGCACAGCGTTTCATGCACTACATTACAATCGCCTGTGAACTCGGTTCAACTCGTGGTCGTGATGCACGGCACCAGGGCCACAGCTGTTGCTGCTTCTGCTTCTTCTAAACCTGGTTGGGGCCTCCTGCACGTCACCGGCGTGGTGTTTGTTTGGGGTGATTTGTATCGATGGGAAGGGTGATTGAAGATGTTGTGACCTAACAAGGAGTGGTGCTCCAGCAGACGGAGGACGGCTTAAGAGTACTTACAGTACCTACATTATTTTGAAGGATGACAAAACTCATGAGCAACAGATGACCTACGGCTTTTTTTACCCCCACCCCACAGGTGTTTGAAATCCGGTGTGTGTGTGTGTGTGTCATCTAGAAAATAAAGAAATCTGAAGAAAAAAAAACACAAGAAAAATCTGGAGAAAGTTCGGAGAGAAAATAAAAATATTAGAAATAATCCACCCCAGGGCATGATGGTTCACGATCCTTTCCACATGTTTCAAGAAGCACTTTCAGCAACAGAAGTCTTCAAGTGCCAATAAATCTACAATCGTTGTGAACGGGCGGTTTGAGGAGCAAGACAAAGAGTTTCTCTGAGGGATTAAAGCCCCGGGGGACATGACCAGACAAAGTTAATTGCACTTTCAAGGATACCGTACACAAAAAGAATGCATAACAACAAAATGCCATCAAAATCGGTCATCACTTCTTGCCACAACACGGCTGGCACAAATGTTATGCTGAGTCACAGGGGAAGCAGATGGGGTGGGAGGGAAGAGGTGGGACAGGTGGGGCAATTTACCCCAAGCCTCAAGTCTTAAAGGGGCCTCAGCTCACGAAGGGCCTCATCTGGAATTTTTGCCCCGGGCCTCCAAAAAGCTTTCAGACGCTCTTGCGTTTTTTGTACGTTAAAAGTTAAATATAAAGGTACGCTGTTGGGGGATAGGCTCCCGGACATCTTGGAAGAGGCGGGGGTACCCACACTTTACCCCACCACACGCAACTTCAGTGCACCCATGTATTCCCCTGACTAGATAGTGGTGGGGAGGGGGGAGAGTGAAAGTTAACAAATATTCTAATTGTTCCAATTGCTTCGTCAGAAGATCTAACCAACGACCTCTAGATTGCAAGTCCAGTGTGGTAACCAATACACCTCGGAAACATTCTGTGTATGTCTTTACTGTTATGGTACCAAAGGTGTCAAGATCGGCCGCTCTGGAGGAGGCTCATGAAGGACGCTACTGGGCAGTAGGAGGCAGTCACCCTCCAGCGACAGTGGATGAGTGATGCTCACAACAAGTGGAGCGCCGGGCGGCTAAAACGCGGAGAGTTTGGCACAGTGGCGAGCACAGGTCGTGCATCTGCAGGTCATCTCAGTCATTCAACCCATGGCACCTGGGTCTGTCACGTGACCTCCTGCCAGCAAGCCTTCGACACGTCAAGTGTCGTAAGAGTGCACCTAGCCGGGCACGAGCACTGTGGTGACATCATCGCCACTTAGTGCCGGTTATTGTCATTATATGGGTTGCATATCCACATAGGAATTGGGCACCTCTGCCAGTCGTCCGTTCGCCCCGTGGTCCCCCCCCCCCTCCCCCCGTGTGTCGCGTGCGAGTCTCACCGGCCCCAGTGCACGGCCAGGTTCTGCCCGATGGACGGCAGGAGGTGGCTGGGCCCGTGGTCCCAGTTGCACTGCGCCGCCCAGGACGTGGCCGAGCGCGCCAGCTCCTCGTCCCACGTCTGCCCCGCAGCGCCGACCGAGCAAACGCGCGCACGTGAGCGGCGAGACGACACGCACAACACAAACCACGCCAGCGCTGCTCCGAACGACAAAGGGGGCAGCCAGCCGCTCTTACAGCTGTCGTCTGCCTACGCTTGATTTTTTTTATACTTGTTTTTTTTTGTTTGCGACAAAACAAGAACCCAGTATAAGGCACGGACCAAAACAAGAGGTGGGAGAGGAGGGGGGGGGAGAGCTACTGCCTCCGCTGACTGAGGTCTGGCCTCAATACTCCTGGATCCACAGATCAAAAGGAAATTGGGCTCACTGCCCCACACACGTGGAGACGACGAGAAGGGAGCGTCGCTGATTATATAAGTGTGGGGGGGGGGGGGAAGGGGGATAACGGACAAAAGTAGATTTCAATTTAAACCTTTCGTGACTGCAGAGATTCATATTATTGGTTCTTTCGGTAAAGTCACGTAGAAGGGAAATAATAAAATTATAATAAATTAAACAATAAAATTCTCACGACGTTTATTGCTGTATTTTTCACACCTGATGATGATTGCTTGTGTTGCAATCGAAACGTGAGAATTTTATTGTTTTATTTATTTAATTTAATTATTTCCCTTCTATGTGACTTTACCGAAAGAACCAAGAATATGGACAAAAGTAGGTCGGCTTATGCTTGTTAACACTTCCAAACAAACTGATTGATGCAGTATGCGTCATTGGCTCTGCCAGTCCATCCATTTGTCTCTTCAGTACGTAACAGGGGGCACTACATCTCTCGGAAAAATGATCGAACAGGAACCAACCTGTAGTGTCGAGTTGAATTGCAATTGGGGACATTCCCAATTGAAAACTGGCCAAATCGATCAAAGGGTAACCAAAAAGGTTGCAGGCACAAACTGGACGAGGATCACAGTGTTTGCGAGTATTACACAAGCACAGAAGATTGCTGGCCAACATGTCATTCTAAGCGATGCCTCCTCACATGAATTACTCTCTCTCTCTCTTGGGACTCAATCTTCCTCCCCCCTGTATGAAATACTCAAAAAAGATTGAATTAAGTAACGCAATGCATGACCCTGGCAATGTAAGTCTCAGTGAGGCTTCACTGCATAACGTACAGGATGATTGAAGATAATTGCACAGGTGGCAATCAGAAGTTCACAAATTCAAATCCTAGTCAGGCATTAGCTTGACTTATCGTAACTACAGGGTTATTCCACTTCCATTCTATGCAAAATTAACAGGTTGTCCTATGGATACACTGGTCACTGCCATAGGAATGTGGAATTTCCTCCTCTGATTCAGGGCCACCAACAGAGTTGAGCTCCAGTCACTGCTCGTTTGAGCAGAAAGGCACATCGACATTTTCGTATTGGGGAACACCTGCATCTAATTGATCAACCTTGATTGACTTTGCAATGACGTTCTTTTTTGACATTTTAGATGCATCACTGGCTTTCCTACTTCAGCAGCAACCATCCAGATAAAAAACAGAGTCATGCTGCTTGGCTAACTCCAAAAACATTGCCCTCTTCAGAGGGACACTCCTGACGTAGCGGCGGACACATTTGCACGCTCCACCTCCCCCACAAACGTTACCCAGGATCCCAGCTTGCCACGCGTAACTTGGCAACTTTAACAGTTTTGCGTAAAGCACTTTTATCTTTGCGCAAATGCGTCTTGCCTTCGAGAGGAGACAGAGAGAGGGAGTTACACTGAATGCCCCTGGGGGGGGGGGGGGGGGGGGTGACTCACTGGCTCGCCTTGAGAGTGCAACGAGCACGTGTGTCCACAATAACTTGCTGTAAAGATTACCACGACGAATCTGGGTGTGCGCCCAAAACCACTGGGGATAACTTTTGAGGAGCTAAAAGTTGTCCTATAAAAGATTATAGATGCAACAACTTCTTCAAAACCAAAAACAAAGGACATGCGGGGAAAGTTTGCGTAGAGAGAGCACAATGTTTATCGAGGAGGGTCTTGTTTTGGTAATTTTTTTTTAGTATTTTCTTTCGTGTTTACTTTAATGCAATGTATTTGGCACTTGAGTAGAATCCGCAATTGTGTTGGGGGGGAAACCCATACAAATGTGGGGATAACTCAGAACTGCATCTGGCTAGTCGTGCAACTGCCATGCACATTTCGCTCAAAACGAACACAAATTTGCTGGACCTTGTGTTGGCCAAGCGGATGTTAGTGGAACCGCAAGGTACTGACGGCTGCATCCCGCGTGACACATATTTCACCAGACCAGCCTTCAGCTCTCAGACCCGAGCCCGGCCCTTAATCTATCTCCCCTCGTTGCCCTTTCCTCTCTCTGGTTCCTTCAAAGCTCCCACTCTCTCTCTTTCGCCGTCCTTTCTCTGCCCAGGGCAAGGCCACAGAGGCTGTGCTATTAGCCTCCTCACGACAGAGTGCAGTGGATGGAGACGCATACTTGCCCCGACCTCCAGCTGTCAAAACAACAAAAAGAAAAAGACCTGCGCAGAGACGCGGGGAAGTCTGGCTGCTCGTGCGCTCAGAGCAAACACCCTCCTCTTGTGGATGTGAGAGAGAGAGAGAGATGTTTGAGACTGAGCTATGGTTATATAAAGAACAGCTGCCTCAATCCACTAAGATTGTCCATTGCTATTCAGAATAAATATAAATTTGCAAAAAATTATTATCATCTATATCCAATCAGGTGGCACGGTGGTTAGAGCATTCAACTCAGAATCAGGCGGTTGTGAGTACAATTCCCAGTCAAGAGTTGACTTAGGCCTTCACATTGCCAGGGGCAATTGTGGGAAGTCAACAGTAGTGGTCCTCTGTAAAGACTGACCCATGTTATTGAAATGAGGAATTTCCATCACTGGATCACGGCCACCAGTGCAGAAGAAATAAAACAATTTCACGTACAACCGTAAAGGAGAGATACACTGAAATTATTTTTGTTCTTATATTCTATTCGCGGGCCACGGGCATAAACATAAGATTCACACCAAACGCAATGGCCAAGAAGCGATTATGGAATTCCAAGGCCAGCAAAAAGTTTAGGCTATCCCCTGCAAACACGAAATGAAGCTACGTGCTTTTCACATCCCTCATGAAAGTCACACCTTTGGTGTGAGGATAGAGCTGTTGCACATTGTGACAAGCAGTTGCTATTATTGTGAAGTGCACATTTTTCCTGCGGTGCCCGTGACAAACAGTTGCTTTTATTGTAAAGCACACATTTTGGTGACCTACATATGCCAAAGTGAGAATTCTGCAGGATTTATGAATTCCAGCATTGAGGCACGGCAAGCTGTGCTGCTCTCACCGCTGTGTGAAGCATTGCGCGCGGCAAGCCCTCAGCACGCATGCCAAATTCATCAAAACTCCCCACAGAAGGTAAATTAATTTGCAGTTCTACCCCCTCCACACTACGATTTCACACGTGTGCATGGCCTCTCTGTGTCACCCTGCCCCATGTCAAACCGTTTACAAGTAATTACACGAAGCCGCTGTCGAAATCTGCCGAATATTGCATTTTTTAAATATATAATACTGTAACGTTTGCAATAAGTACATAAAAAAGTACTGGCCATTCTCAATCCACAATTGGATGAAGGCCTCTCCATTGCGTGTCAGTCATGGGTATGTTTTATATCATGCATCACCACGATAGTTAGTGCGGGCTGGTGAAGGAGGTGGATGACCGGTTCTGATATCACTTGCCAATGATGGTAGCCATGGCTGAGAATTGAACTCAGGTTTCAGGTTCATAGCGCAGCACGCTAATAATTAAAAATATAATTTGAATGTGTAAGGAGCGATTAATCTGTAGGTCCAATACTAACCACTCCTCCACCCAATGTATCATTGCTCCAGCCCGGTGCCTGCTATGTTAATAGAAAAACTGTAATAATGTGTTTACTCGAAAAAAAAAACATACAATGTCCCAAGACGCTTTGTGGTATGGGTTGATGTTGGACTGTTTTCAATTTGTGCGTGTTATTCACTGCTCACAATCCACCCACCCACTAATTCCTCCACTCACTCACCCAACCACGCATCACCCCCCCCCCCCCCCCACACTCTCTGAGCACGCACCATGTACTCCATGTTGGAGGAGGCTGGGTAGACCTGCCCTCTCAACTTGTTGTGGAGCTCCAGGATGGACGCCTTGTCCGCATCGTCGATGGCGCGGCGGACGCGACGCTGGCCCGCCTCTGCCTCCGGACCCGCCAGCTCATCCGGCTCCAGATGTCGCGAGAGCAGCGCGCTCAGCTGCGTGTCGTTTGTGGACAGGAAGGCCGTCGCCCCGGGCGCTCCGCTCAGGGCCAGCAGAGACATCGTCACTGCCGCCATAACGCTCCTCGCCAGGGCGCTCTGCATGCTGACCGGCCGGTCGGCACCGCTCGCTGCGCTGTCGGTTTTGCTTCTCGCGTGCGTGGGCAGGGGCACCACCCGGGGTTCGTCGCTCTGCGTGGTTGGGCTGAACGGAAAAACGGCACAGGGAAAGAGGGACATCGGACGGTTCACGTTTGCGTTTGGACAAGAAACGGGGTGATCGTAAAGTCTGCAGCCTGGCTTAGGCCGACTTCCGTAGACTGAGGGTGACACACTTTTTGATCACCCTTCGTAGCACCATGACTGTGGCACTAAGAACAATAAAGCTGTTGCTGGTGATTTACGGTAGGTGCAAGGTCAGTGGGGCTAAGAGGTCATCCTGGCCATTGTAGAGGATGTCACTGCACCTCGCCTTGATTTTCTACCTTCTGCTACAACTTGAAACTGCCGTATAGTCGACACTCTACCTGTAAGGTGGGCCCTCAATGTCTCTCCACTACCACCACCATCTGGCTGGAAGTCTTCCCCTCAGTCATTGATCTCTGGATGTCACTTACTCCGGTGTGCAGTAACAACACGCTACGTTTACGGATTTAGCTAAAAAATATTTGGAACCAGTACTGCTGCTGTCTTGCCACGAACCCTTGGAATGCAAATCTCAAGGGTTCACCATGGTTAAATAGAGTATATTTTATTCATACCTAAGTGTAAGCTGAAAATATGGTACCTCCGCACTGTCGTCCTTCAAAAAGACTTCCTTCGACATTGAAAAACATGCAGTGAGAGTGTGTTTTGAGCAATGAATGTTTTTCTCAAGAGTCGAGGAAGAAATTTGAAAAAAAAGATTCAAGATGTTGAAAACAACGTGATGAATCTGAGGTCTTGTAATATAGTGAGAATTTGAAAAACAGATTTCGAAAAATTATCATAACTATATGGTGGGAAATATTTTCATTGTGGCTGGTGTTGGCTTACAACCATGTCAAGGCGTCTGGCTGCTCCAACAGCAATGGGGCAGTGCTCTTCTCCATTAGTGGCGCCAAGCCAGGTAATTCCACATTCCTGTCTAAAATATAACCGCTAATTACTTCCCGCAAGGTAGTACTAATTTTACCAGCCCTGGAGGGATGATTGGCTTCGTCAACCTCCCAACCGGGATTTAAACTTGCGACCTTCCCTCTCACTGATTGTTGAGCGTCTGAATAACAAAGACAAAGATCCCCTGTGTAGCCTTAACAGACTGTAGGGGCAAGTGCTGTTAGCGAGCACCTATGAAGGCCGGAACGGAACACGAGGGGGTGGGTGGCCAGCACCACGCCCGACCGCCTTTGTCTCCCCAGTGGCGATGTTTACACACCGCACCAGGTACTCATTTCAGGCTGAGTCGACCTAGGGAAGGCCCAGGACCTGTTCAGATAATCGTCACTGGTGTTGGCCGTGAGCGGTGAATCGAACCCGGGCCGCCAGGTTCGTAGCGCAGTGCGCTAACCGCTACACTACCGCTCCCCACAAGGCCACCACTACCACCACCACCCCCGCCGCAACTTGGCCGGGCAGGAAGAGACCTGCATGAATAATAATAATCATCATAACAATAAATCAATAGCCACACTTTACGACCGAATGACTGCCACTTGGGCGAGGAATGCTTTTCAAATGACTGCACAGGCAACGGGTCAGGAGTGAGAAGGAAACGGGTGAGGGCGGTGAGACAAAGGTCTAGGGAAGAGACCCTGGAGAGGAGCCAAAGGGCTTGGATTTGAAAGTCATTGGCAGCTTTGATGCATTCGATCACACACATGGACTCTTTGATGCGTACTCGCCAAGCTTTTGTTTATTTGTGCCAGATCTGCCAATGAGGTGAGGCTTTTTTTCATTCTCACTTCGCGTGCATAAATCCCTTTCATATCCCTGACCGTGATTGACGTACACAAACGTTTATTGATCTTAAGCAGGACCGGCCAGCTTGTGAGAAAGGGAAGGTTGGTCGGGTGGTTTCTCTTGCAATCGTAAAGCGGAAACTTTCATTTGTGTGTGTGCCTGTGTGTGCGTACAGCACCGTGCGTACACACGTGGTGTACATATGCACGTGCGTTTAAGTCTCTTTGCTCAAGTAAAAAAAAACAACAATGGGGCAAGCACTTCTCATATCCATTGGTGGCACCAAGACAGAGGTGGAAATTGCACATTCCCATGGAGGGCTCCCTGTCTCTGCACTGGATGACCACTGCTGCCTTTGCAATGCTGGGCTGATTCTAACCCCCCCTCCCTCCCCTGTTGGGGGTTGAACTGGCGATTCTCCAACTGTGAGCCCTTTAACCACACCGCCACCTGGTCGGATGCAATTATTAATGTGTAGGTAATAATATATATTGTATTACATAATAAAGTACATATGTCAATATTCTAGGAACAATTGTATACATAGCAGTGGGTTGTTTTAAACCGGAAAAAAAAATACAAATCTCGTGCCAAACGGACTCCGGGCGCCGTCTTGCACTTGGCACGAGACACCGACAACTGTCTTGAAAAGTCACGAGTTTTCCACGAGGGCGAGCGGGGAGCCGAGGAGAGCGAGAGACAGAATAATACGCAATTAATCACCGCTAAGTGAAGCAGCGTGTGCCCTTTGCATTGCCAGCAGCCGGGGCGTTTGCGCCGACTCCTTTCACGCGGCTCATCCGACAGACTCGAAAGGAGACGGACTGGCTTCAGCTCTCCTTTTTTTGCACTTGAGTGGGAAAACGTTCGCCCAGGGCCCGTTTCATGCATGTGCGCATTGTTTTCCGCGTGCCCGTGCGCGTGTGTTCGCGCGTGTTGACTTTTGACTTTTTATTTTTACGCATTAAACAGCCGCGCGCCTCTAAGGGGACGCTTTTTGGGCACCGTTCACACGCCATGGCGATGGTGGGTTAGTTGTTTCTTTGTGACACTGACGGCAAAGGGTGTGCGTGTGTGAGTGTGTGTGCGTGTGTGAGTGTGTGTGAGTGTGTGTGCGTGTGTGTGTGAGTGTGTGTGCGTGTGTGAGTGTGTGTGTGTGCGTGTGTGAGTGTGTGTGAGTGTGTGTGCGTGTGTGAGTGTGTGTGCGTGTGTGAGTGTGTGTGTGTGAGTGTGTGCGTGTGTGAGTGTGTGTGTGTGAGTGCGTGTGTGAGTGTGTGTACGTGTGTGTGTGAGTGTGTGTGTGCGTGTGTGAGTGTGTGTCCGTGCGTGTGTGTGAGTGTGTGAGTGTGTGCGAGTGTGAGTGTGTGTGCGTGTGTGAGCGTGTGAGTGTGTGTGTGCGTGTGTGAGTGTGTGTGCGTGTGTGTGCGTGTGTGTGTCCGTGTGTGTGCGTGTGTGAGTGTGTGCGAGTGTGAGTGAGTGTGTGTGCGTGTGTGAGTGTGTGTGAGTGTGTGTGCGTGTGTGTGCGTTTGTGAGTGTGTGTGAGTGAGTGTGTGTGCGTGTGTGAGAGTGTGTGTGCGTGTGTGAGTGTGCGTGCGTGTGTGCGTGTGTGAGTGTGTTTGAGTGTGTGTGCGTGTGTGAGTGTATGTGCGTGTGTGTGTGCGTGTGTGTGAGTGTGTGTGCGTTTGTGAGTGTGTGTGCGTGAGTGTATGTGCGTGTGTGAGTGAGTGTGCGTGTGTGAGTGTGTGTGCGTGTGTGAGTGAGTGTGCGTGTGTGTGTGCATGTGTGTGAGTGTGTGTGCGTGAGTGTGTGCATGTGTGTGAGTGTGTGTGCGTGTGTGAGTGTGTGTGCGTGTGTGTGTGCATGTGTGTGAGTGTGTGTGTGCGCGTGAGCGTGGTGCTGGCCACCCACCCCCCTCGTGTCCCGCCTTCATAGGTGCCACTGGCTAAAATCACTTAGACCCCAAAAGTTTGTTAAGGCTACACAGGGGATCTTTGTCTTTGTGTGCGTCTCAACAAAACGTCCTGACTCGGGAGACCAAGGCGGCCGGGCGCGGTGCTGGTCACCCACCTCGTGTGCCATGCCGGTCATCCTACGTTCTCACGAACAGCCCCTACTACAGTATGTTAAGGGTATACGCGTGATCGTTGTCTTTGCGTGTGTCGACAGTGGTGTCTTAATTATTCAGAGGCTGCACTACAAGTCCGCAAATCTGAGTTCAAACTCTTGCCGTAATGCCAGGGAATATGAACGCGCCCAGACCCTCCCTCTTGGTTGACTCGGCCTTTGATTAGTACCTCGAGCAGCATATGAGTATCAGCACCGGGGAGACAAAGGTGGCTGCGAATGGTGTGGGTGTCAGTCTCACGTAACAGTATTTGCCCCGTCGCCTTGTATGGCCATATGGTGGATTTTTTTTCTTCTTCGCACTTATGTGTGTGTGCGTGTGTCAAACAGCATTAGGCCCAGACCTCCTCTGATTTATTTTTTTAATACAGTATTGCCATTATTTTCCTTCTACGGTGCTTGCCGGCAAAGTGCTACACTGGGCGCCCAACTTTCCGCACGCGTTTGACGCATTCCAAAAAAAACTAAAGTATTAACTTGTTTTTCTCTTACGTCGCTGGGGGCAATGTCCAACAAACTAAAATTAAAATAATGCCAGATTGAGATTTGAAACATAGAGCCAATATCACCAAACAGATATCCCATGCTTCTCGCTCCATTTTGAAATATTACATCCATAAATAATCTACGGGGTATGTGTTGAATAACATGTGTTATTTATTTGTTAAATGAGCGGATCGCTCGCATTCTAAGGGTCAAACTAACCCGTTGCCCGTATTGCCATTGTTTTCGCATTACAGCTCTATCCAGGAAAGCCTCAATTCGTCTCAGTGATAATTTTCAAGAGCGGATGCTGCTTGGAATGTTTGTACAACTTATTTGTGAATACTGTTTGTGTGAACTCGGAAACTGAGTGATTGGACAAAGCCTACACACGCACAATATGAGAGCATGACATTTGAAATGTCATATACGGATAGACTTGTCATGAACCTACTTACTGTCCTGTCTCATGCAAGTACAACATAATTTGCCCTGTGGGTTGGTGTCTAACATAATATCATCATGCGTCTCACCTCTATGTTATCCACCAACCCGTTCTACATTTTTTTGTAAAGTCGGCAGGTATGCATCACACGATGTTGATGCATTTCATTGTGTGTTTTGTTTCACGTGTTTCCTGTAATTTTAGTTATCCTTGAAATATGTTTTTACTTTTTTCAAAGTAAAAAAGAATATCAACAAGCCTTGAGTGTTTCTTTTTAAATGAACACTTAGGCAGCACCCACCTCGATTGGTGGCCCTGAGACAGTTGCGGAAATTCCACATTCCCGTGGTGGGGAGCAGTGTCTCCATGGGACGACCGCTGTTGACTTCCTACAAAGTGGTATCTATTTTATCATCCCATATACATCCTGGGCTGAGTCAAGCCCTACCCTGGGATTTGAACTCACCACCTTGTGATTGCGAGTCCATGGCGTGCTCTTAACTGCAGCGCCATCCTGCAGGATATTTATTTGACTGCCCATTAACTGTACATACAGAATTACTGTTTTTATTTTTAGAATGAGATCCCTTATTCAGACGTTTCTAGTCAAAATATACATGCTACTAAAATATATTGGTGACATTTGCAATTCCAATTACAGACCAAATATTACCCACCCCCCAGTAAGTTCGAACGTTTTCTATAGTTGTGCAGTTTTGTTTCAGAAATACTTTTTACTTATCATTATTATTGTTTTCCACTCTTCCAAAAGAGAAAATCTGAGCGTTTTAACCTTCGAAACTTTTTTTTGGGGGGTCCATGTTATTCACGTGACAGAATCATTCACACACGAACTCAACTCGCACACAAGCGCACGCCACATCTAATGTATCACGCACATCAAAACCAGCTCAACTCATGAATGTACAAGGTGACGTGACTTGTGCATTGTGCTTAGCCCCCTCGCCTATACAAAGAGAACATTATTTGAGAACATTATTTGTGCATATTCCCTACAGTGTTGTACTACTTCTGTTCAAGAGCAACTGTGAAGGTTTGTATGACACACGCCGAGAGGTGGTGTAGCCAGAACCACGCACACCTCGCCACCTTTGTTTCCCCATTGCTGAAGTTCATCACCACCGCATTGCAGTAGGAATAATCAGCTTAGGCTGAGTTAACCCAGGTGAAGGCTTTGGCCAGATTCATACATTAATTATCAACAGCGGCCATGGCCAGGAATTGAACCCAGGTGAACGAGATTTGTAGTGACACTGCAACAACACAAATATAAGACAAATATCCACGAATAAACTCGGTATATACTTTTGGAGGCATGTTCCGTTCGCAAACACCTATTTAACAATATGTACTGCAGCATACACGCAAACAATGCATAGGTTCCGGCGTTATCATTCAACGTCATATGCACAAATGTCGTTGCGCCGTGAGCGTGTCACGTAGGGTGACACACAGACGACTCGTGCGGCGCGTGCCTCGTGCCCGCGCTGCCACGCACGCCCGCAACACGCGCGCGCGTGAACAACCATCGCTCTCCCACTCACGTGGCACAGATGCTGTCGTTTCCTCTCGCGATGAAGCTGCTGCTGCTGCTACTGCGGCGAGCGAATGTCTTGAGCGTGCGGCCACCGGCAACTTATAAGCGTGGCGGCGCGGGTGATGTCACAGCAGTGAATCAGTGGAGGGGGAGGGAATTGGTTATTTTTTCTTGGATGTTGCTCTTCCAATGGGGGGGGGGGGAGGCGTTGGGGAGATGTAGGGGAGTGGGTGTGGGGAGGGGAAGAGGAGGGCATGTTGAATGAAGGTGGAGTCGTGGTGTTTTGAGGGTGGAGGTGGCTGTTATTCGTTAGGGAGGGCAGTGTCTTAACTCACAGCGTCCATTCCTTGCGAGTGTTCCTGCCGGAGCCATTTGGCATGAGCCAGCAACGCGGACGGGCCGAGAGGGCGCGCTGCGTGTACAAGCAATGGGCGCGTTCTGCGCTGCATTTGTAGCAAAGCCTTTGGTGCGTCCTGTCTCCGACGGTGTACGGGTGACATCGTTAATCTACAGCTTCTTAAGTCTTCGCCAATGTTAACAAAACAACCGATGGATGTCACCTTTGGTAGTGTCTATATCTGGGTATGGCTTTTCCGATTAGCTCGTACGGAGAGCGAAGCACACATGGAAGGTGTTTCAGCCAAACTAAATAACAGACTCATGAGCCAGAGCACAAGTCATCAATACCACTGTGACAGTGAATAACGGTGATAAGTGGATTATTCGTGTTAATTTTAAACGGCGTTGCACTGGGTTTCTAAACAAAATTAATTGAATGTTGCCTCCTTTGATTGTATTCATCAGTGACAAAAACGAAACTTGACCTGAACTCAGACCAAATATATTCAAAATGTACCGTTTGTCTTATAATATATGTAATTGTGTAATTGTGAGCAGCATTGTTTGTAACTTGCATCCACTTCACAGCAAGGCGTCACATTTCAAGGTCACTTATCCGAAAAGTGATCGTCAATCCCATTGGGCTCTCGCATGGGTTAAATAAAGGACGTTGATTTATTGAGCGATTGGGGTTCTTGTCTTGATTTGTCAGGAGGCATCTGCACTTTGCCGGTGACACCCAACAGGTTAAAGACGTATTTATAGGGTTAAGCTTTTAGCTCAGTGTGTGTGCGAAGCAGATGGAATGTAACACACAGCAACTAAACATGAGAGTATGTAAATTTCGATTTAAAGCTTTCGTGACTGCAGGGATTCATATTCTTGGTTCTTTCGGTAAAGTCACGTAGAAGGGCAATTATAAAATAATTGTATATTTGTATTATTTTATTATTTCCCTTCTACGTGACTTTATCGAAATAATCAAGAATATGAGAGTACGTGTTTTTTTTACAGACACAAATATAAAAGTTGGTAAAGGTGCAGCCCTGAAATAGCTTGCTCACAACATTGCTGGTGGAAGGGCTCCACTAGAGGGAAGAGTCCTCCTCAGAGGTGATTTTGGCTGCGACTCTTCCAGGCCTGTGAATATTTACGTTGAACTTCTTTCGCACCGTACGTAGCCAACCGTGCTAATCGTCGGTGCGGAGGGGCACCCCAAAGAGCAGGGTGGTTACGGAGACTTGCACCATCGTTTCAGTTGCCGAGCCGGGAGACAAAAAGCAGCGACTTCTGGATTGCAAGTCCGGTTTGTTATAAATTACACCACAGACGGTATCCCCATGTAAAGATTAATGATCGTGTTTTTAATGCAGGAAAAGTCCCTCTTCAGCCGGAGATATTTGATCAATTCCTCATTGAGTGTATTCGCTTCGTATTGGAAGCATTACAAAACTCCTACACGTGAGCAGATAACTCTCAAGCTTATCACGGGAACCTCCTTCCTGTACCTGAGCGAATGGGTGTCTTGCAGGCGTGACCTTCGCGTGGACCACCAACCCTTCGTCGAAATTGCAGATGCACTTTTTTTGCCGCAATAAACTCAAAACACAAGGATCAAGACAAGGAGAGAGCTCCCCAGCCTCGAGCCTTATAACACCATGGGGTAAATACTGTCAGCGAGCATATGACTTGCGCAACACACAGACTGGTGGTGTGGCTATCGCTGTGGCTAGCCGTCTTTGATTTTTAAAATATCATACGTTGACATACCACACCAAGTACGTTCTTAAGGTCCAGCTGACCTAGGGGAGGCCCAGAACAGATCCATTACATCTTACTTCGAATGCTGTGTATTGTTGATATTTGAACTCAGGTCACTGGTACCGTACGCTACGCCACTGGATAAACACAAACACACACGCACACGGGTTGGACGTGGCCAGCACAAGAAGCTGGAATGTAAATGTTGTGGGTAAGGAGAGCCTCGGCTGTTGAGATCCAATGTTGCGCTTGTGGGAGAGGCTCCCTGCGCTGTGTGTGTGGGTGAGACCCGCCGGGCGACGGGGCTTGCACAATTGTCAAGGGGCATGAATCCCCGTGCTGTGTGCGCGAGGCACGGGGCAGTCCCGGGATTTCTAATCGGCTTCTCTCTGAAGCCGACACAGTCTTCACATTTGAACAAACACACAGACTGCCCTATATATATAGTGTACGGTAAACACACAACTCGCATGTAAACACATACCGTATGGCTTGGCATACGCAACCACACGCTAAGTGCCGCGGATAGATGAAAAACAAAGTGCCTGTGACATTTTTCCCAAAATATTACTTGTTGAACATATACACTTATAAAGTATGTCAATGTGTGAGATCGAACTCCTAGAGATAGCGCGAGGATTGCCAAATGTGACAACGCTCCATGGAAGGAAGATTGACCGTCAGAAAGTTCGAGCGGCATGACATCAGTTGACTTTAGCCCTGTCACTCGCGCACTAAACCGCGTACAGCCTTTGCCGTAGCGTCCATGCCCCACATTTACCGGTCTGAGGCACAAGTCCATCGCGGTGTCCAGCTTGACCTGGCCCAACCAGGTGGCACCCGGAGCCCTGCGTGGCCTCCTCAGACCGATGTCGCGACGCAGCTGCAGCAGCAGCGACGTGTGTGCGTGTGCCAGCGCAGCAGGAGCCAGCCGTGCGCTGCGATCCAACGGCGCTAATTAGGAATGGCATCGAGCGGCATCATTTTGCCAAATCCTTCTTGCCCACATGGACACCGATCGGTGCAAACGCGACCGCAGGAAAACCGCCGATGCGTCTCACTGCTCCGCCAAGCCTTTGGCAACGGTTTTCTGCATTGGACGTCCTGACCTGCCAGTGGTGTAAATTCCAAGTTCCCATGGCAGGGAACCGGTTCAACAATGGCTCTTGATGTGCATATAACCCCTGCAAGACATGCGTGATAATTGAAGCCAGACGTATATCGTCTGTCTGAAGACCGCTATTCACGCATAGACTGCACTGCTCACGGCCCGCAGCCTCGCTCTGCTGATGGCAACAGCGTTGCATTCCGCGAGAGATTTATGGAAACATTCCATTCATCCGCGATCTGGCCTTCCTTCTCCTAAGAGGGACGTTAAAGTGCAGCAGCACAGAGCTTCCCCATCACTTGCCCAATACCATAGAGCATTAAACAAAAAAGATGGGTGCGTGCCTTGTAAAGTTCTTAGGCCCTTTTCTTTCTAAGAAAGGGGCCGAACCTGGCAACAGCTTGAATCAATTGGACTCCTGTGCATAGGCACAGCAGGCCGGAACTCGGTAGTTTAGCTAAGGGGAGATAAGAATGTATTTACAGAAACCTCGTAAGGTGATACTTGTGACCAAAGCACCCAGAAGGTGCCCATTGTCATCGGATACTGGAAACTAAGCGGGGTTTTATCTGCGTGGTGCTTGCACGGGCGATGACCATGCATGCAGGTGCTATAGGCTACTGCGGGGACACCTTGTGGGTAGCAGAGGGCAGCAACGTGCCCTAGTGTGCTTCATGCTGCATTGTCTATCCACACTGACGAGTGCGGTGAAGTATGGCCAAATAATCCCCACAGGGCCCCCTGCTGGATGTGGCCTTCATCCAGCAGTGGATTTTCAAAAGAGCTGTGCATGTACGTATGGTGGCAAAGGCAGCCCAAATTGCTTCACGTTGTTCTGCCTGGGCACGTTTATTTCACACTTGCGACACTCACGCGCTGGGCAATGCGTCCTGCGTATTTGACAGCGGCAATCCAGGAGGAGCTTAAGTGTGATTCTCTTCTGCTACTGTTAGCAACAGCAGCAGTAGGAGCAGTGGCAATAACAACAACAGCAGCAGCAGCAGCAGTCGCAGCAGTGACGGCCGTTTATACCGACGACAATTTGCATTCCACCAAATCATCCTGAATGTTGCCGATCACGTCTGTTCTCAGAAACGAGGCAGTGAGGCTGGGAGTCGGGGAATGTCACGTGTTGTCGGCTACGAGGTGTCCAGGAGATGGCAATACAGCAATGGATGTTTAAAAAGCCCGCCCCTTGCGAAGATTTGAGTGTTACCCCTTGGATTCGTGGTGTTTTTCCGGGTACTCCGTTTTCCTGCTATGTCCCAGCATTCACAAATAGAACTGGCATTCCAATGCAGGCATCGCCTGAGCATCCTCAGACGCAGTTAGGCTCTTCATGGTTCAGTGGCGTTTGTTTATCATTTGTAAAACTAGGCCATCTGTTAAAATTACAAACCCCCCATTTGTGGTATATAATGGGCAAATAAGATTAAAGCTTTTAATAAATAAGGATAGGTTTAATCCTTTCGGCAATGAAACAGGAATTAAGATGTTCAAACATCAAATAGATACATTTTGCACGGAATCAAGTCCGCATGAACCACACACACAGCACTTGTGGTGAACATGCTAACAAACGTGCTCGGACAATGCACACACAGATTCTTATTTTTCATACTTTAATACAGTACTGGCAAAAAAAGGTGTCATTAAGATGAAAGCGTGTCTGATAGACTTATTGATTTCTGATTGTAGTGTCGCACCAAGGTCTACTTTAAAATCAAAGTGCCTCGCTGCATTTCTCGTGCTCAACTCTCCCGATGACTCTAAGCCCAGCAGTTCCGATTTCACATTCCCACGTCAGGCACCGAGTGTCTCTAATAGACCCACCACCGTTGACTGCCCAAAAAGTGGTCGTAATTTTGGTGGCCCCGGGAATTGTGATGGCCTGGGTTGACCCTTATAAACTCATAGGCATAGCTCAGTGTGAGG